TAGTCGTAATGTATTTTTGATCCTGCTAGTAAATGATACAATAATTTAGCTTCCATTTAAAAACTAACGCTTCCATCAAACCTTAATTGAGCTTAATCAGCCATTAACAATGGTTCTTATTGACTGAGAAATAAATGGTGATTGATTGGCCTGACATGATTAATTGTTATTGTAGTTTTCAACGATTTAAGCTCATTTGCCCAGGCTACTTTTTTCACAATGTTTGAAAGATTTAATTAATACTCCTGTCAATAATTTGAAAAGGCTTAAGATTCTGGGAATTACAGAGTAATTGTTTCCATGGCCAAGTGGTCACAGAGAGATATATTGAAATTTTAATTCCAGTAACATTTGATTTGTAAAACAGTATATACCTTCCTAAGACAGCTCTGTGAAGGTTTTACACTGCAACTGTAAAATTTATGCTGTTCATTTCTTGATGTTTTGATGGAGCAGAGCTGGCACAGGTATTGTCTCCTCCATCTCTCCCTGTGTAGCTACCTCGTTCCTTTATAAATTCTCTAAGGAACATATTTGATTTTTATTAATATATAAACTCATTCAATTATTTTCTTTTCATGAGGTAAGATAATAAATGAAAGATGTGAATTCAGCTGGCATCTGGAAAAATATTTTACAAGGCAGTCAATACTGTTTGATTCTATCCCTCCTCTTGATCTGGAGCATCGCCCCTGTGCCTACATTTCCCTGGGTTTACAGTCTGTGGAGTACCTGAAAGAAGATGCTCAAAACATAGTCGTGTGGAAGGTGAAGGCCCGAAAGAAAGGAAGTGAGATGGAATGCCAGAGCAGAATTATGGAAGGGTCGTCTTCATAGAAAGTTAGTGCTAAAAGAGAAAACTCATTTTATAACTTCCTGTTTAATTGAAGTGCATGGGTTTTAATTTCAGGAAGGGGTTGCCCACACACTCCAGGTAAGGCACTCTCCTCTAAACTGTTGCTGTGCCTTGGATGAGGAGTTGGCCCCAGAACCCACCTGCTCCTCCCACAGTTTACAGAAGCTAGTGAAGGAGAAAGAATAGCATATGAAAACCTTACTACCAAGCTTTTAAGGCAGGTATCTGAAGTGACCTGTGAACCTACAATCTTGAAAAAAGCAGTTTCCTCTCTCTCTCTCAAAAAAAAAACAAAAAAAACATATTTTGGGAAGAGCTCTATGGCATCAACTTCTTGAACATTTTTTCCTTTTATTCACCTGAAAATAGCCCCCTAAGATTTCTGATTGACTGGATTAATGCTTTTAAGCAAGTTAGTTGAAAAACAAGTCATCAGGCATAAATCAGAAGAACATACTCTTTCTTACACCACTTGCAGGCTCCTGTGTGACTTGACCTTCAGAGTACTGATGGCTTCAACAGTGGGTTGGAAATGCTGTGCCCAGGAAGTCTGAGCAGAGCTGTGCTCCCTCAGAGGAAGGGAAACATAGCATAGGTTGAATCGTTACAGCATTAGCTGATGATTATTATTATCCTTACGAGGGCCATGCATTAGGGATTCAGAGGTATTCCATGTCTGATTCTAATTAATGCCCTGCTCTACTCAGAGGATAGCCTGACTGCCAGGAAACACATATCTGCTGTTACATTAATGTCACTAGGCAGCAGACAGAATTTTTTTTTTTTTTGAATGAATGAAATTGAAGAAAGGAAATTGAACTTGGCAAAGTGTAATTGGGAAATGATGGTAGGTACCTGAGAAGGGCTGAAGCCTTTGAGCCATGGGAGATCCAAATAGCAGCAAAAGGGCAGAGGGGAGGAATGAGTTCATAGGGGCAAGTGCAGGCTCAGCTGTGCACTGCTGTCAGGGAAAGGAAATGGAAATTAAAGCTAGAGTAAAAAATCCCACTGCCTTGGTGAGGCATCTGCCACATCCTAGGATGTCCCATTTCATCACCATGACATCTCTCATCTCTCCCTCTATAAAAAGAAAGATGCACTTCCGTGTAGATGCCCTCGCTTCTCATCTGAAGGAGGAGGGCATGGGCCAGCTGCTGCTTTCACTCATCTGTGAGAATTTGGCCAGGACAGAAGCCATTGCACCTGCCACGTGTTTTGTCATGCTTTCAAGACAGACTTCATAATCAGCTATTTGATGCCACTGACATGAACTGATTGATTATATGCTACAAGTATTAATATGTGGTATGAACAGTTCATTCATTTACCAAACTTTTCTCAAAATTATTAAAAACCTCCCTCAGTGCAACTTCCAGCTTAAGTTTTATAATCCAACTACTTTTTTTCACACTCTTTGACTTCTTACTCACAGAAGACTAATTTATGGTTAAGATGAACTGTGGGAAGTCTACCTTACTGTGCAGTCTAACTTCTAGAAGAAATTCTGGTGCATTCGCAGTGTCCAAGCACCATCACACCCAGTCTCCTCATGTAGTGCAGAGTGCCATCCATAGTAGTGTCTCCTACCTTACCCCATGAGTTATTTCTTCTACTACAGTCTCTCATTTATTTATACACAGCTTTGATTATTGAAACCAACCATTTCAGTTTGGTTAAAGAAATTGAATCCTCCAAAAACACACCTAAAACTAAAGTACAGGCTTCAATCCTAAGAGAACTGTAAGCACCTGGAATTCATGGTGCATTGAACCCCCCAGCACTGACCTGTAAGCTGTCTGGGTTATCCATAAACTTGCCTCTCCAACATACGATCATTCAGGACAATGAGATTCCAACCACAAGAAAACTTCATCCATCACACAATTACAGCCTTCATGAACTGACTTAGGCTCCTACACTCTGTAACTTTCCTTCTGTATATGCCACTGACTGTGGTAACTTTCACACCATATCTTGTGCTAAGTACCACCCTAGCAGCTCACTGAGCACCAACAGGGCAGCTGATGCTTGCCTGCAGAGTGGCCCTCTGGAATCAACCCCAGTGTGTTTATCAGGGTTGGTGCTGGCGAGGCACAGCCCATACTGCTGAGGAAAAATGTGTTTGCCTTACTGCCCGTGGAAAAACGGGTGCTACTGAATGTTCTGTTTTAATGGCTGGCGTTACTATGGATGCAAATGCAAATCTGTTTTTACACTTAATAAACTGTGTGGCAGCAAGATCCAGTGGAAGATCCCTAAAAATGTAAACACCTACATGCACAGTGACTTACTTACATCTGGGTTTGCAGGTAGCCATGTAGAGGATGTATAAAAGCTGTATTCAAAACCCCTAATTTAAAATTAATTTTCAGGCAGTCCCTGGCAGACTGAGTAGAAATGATGCTCGATAGTCATCCAAATTTTATGTAGTTTTAATGCACAGAGCTTTCTTTTAAGTTTTAAAGTCTTAGATTGTGCCAAGGAGTTGCCACTGTATTGATTTCAATGGGGAATTCTGGTTTAGATTTGATGACATTGGTAGCAGCCTACATTTTGAGTGGATAAAATCTAAAATTCAGTTTCATGATGTGCAAGCATTTCCACTGATTTCTAGACACAAAATAAATTCAAGGACTTATATACATTGAATGCATTCTGTTTATTTGAGAAGGAAGATCTCATACGAGTGCCTGTTATGGAAGGCATCTCTTATCATGTACAATAAAATCAACCATTGCTTCCAGCAGAATACAAAAATACACATCTCAGTGACTTCCATACAATAATAAATATGTAATCATGCATCCAACAATAAAAAGGCACGGAAAACTGGTCACTTAGTAGTCATAAAAATTACTAACTATATTAACAAAGCCACCCAAATTATCTGTACAAGGAAATGTAACAATATATTCCAAAGGTGAAAACACATAAAACATCTTTAAAATAGTATATGCAATAAATACCTCAATTGTTTTTATATATTAAAAATAAAACTGTGCCATTGTAAACAGTATGTAAACAAACAAAATTCACTGTTCCTTACCATTATTACAAGTAAATAAAGCCAAAAGTTACACCCCTGCTCTGTTAGATATACTTCATTGGCAAGTTTTGTCAGGCAGTTTAAAAGTTTTACTCTTTCCTGCAGCAAACAGAGCCTGCTATGTGTGTAATTCTAAGTATTAGAGCAATTGCTAAGCTTCAAAACTGACTACCCAGGACATAGTAGGTCATCAAAGAGAACTGGAACTAGGAAAAGCAATTCTTGCAGTGTTATGGACAGAAGTAATTTATTTTTACTACATATAATAGTGTGGGTAAAACTCAGCGGTTTATATAACACTGCTCTCCTACAGGACTCAGGGGGGCTGTACAGAGGTGGTGAGCATCCCTATTCCCTTGGGTGGAGAAAGTGAGGCACTCAAAGGTTAACTATGCTGCCCCCAGTCTTACACCAGCTCCACTGGCAGGAAACCAAAGGCAAAATCCAGACCTTCAGCCACTTCCTCCTCATTTCCTCAGATATCACATGGCCTTGCAGACAAATAAAGGTGTGTCCTGAACTGCAGTCCTGATTAGAATTGCAGAAAGCCAACCAACAAGCAGAAGGAAAGGTGTCAGTTTGCTTGGGTGCCCATCTGCCCCCACCAACAACGACAGAGCCTTGCCACCAAGTGAAGCAGGAGCACCGTAGGAGCTTTCCCCCCACTAACCTGTGATCAGATCCACGTTAGCAGACTAACAAGCCCAGACAGAGCCCTGTATATCCTTTGCAAGCCTCAAATGTATATTCTTTTGAGGTCTGTTTCTACAGCCAACAAACTCCTAGAAAGTTCTACCTAGGTGCATGCTTCCTGCCTTATTTAGCAAGGGGAAGAATAGGAATCTGAATAAGATCCTTTCTTAAATGAAATTATAGAAGAAGATTCCCAGAAGTGGTGGGCATTTGCACAGATGTCTTCAGAAAGAGCCTCATGAAGGAAGGTGTCTGCTTTGTTATTTCTTCAGTTTTTGATAACCTTGACACAACTACCTCATTTTACAAGTCCGACTATCCCTGGGATGACTATCTATGATAAATATAAACTTACCTGTTCCCAATGCATGTATTTCAAAGTGCATGACAGCTCTTGTTTGAAAATGGTATTTTAGCCTTAGATGAATAAATTAGGATACATCTATTTAGCTGTTTCACAGCCATATGTTTTTTACAGGAAGAATACACTTTGAGCATACATAATGAGAAGTTACCCTGGAAAGGGATTTAGGAAGCGCTGCATTATGGTATTTTTCCTCCCTTGTGCTATTAAAGAACTGATCCTTCTGCCTCTAGACAAGTGATTTCTCTAATATCAAGCAGTTGTCTGACTTGCCTTACCACTTAACATTTTCATAATTTTAATTGATCCATGGAATATTAAAAGTCATTCAACACACTGGCTCTGAAGATACCTCCATGTCTTGATGAGAAGCTTAAAGCCACATACTTGCTAGGTAACATTTTTTCCTCAATAAGGTACTTTTGGATAAGGTACTTCAAGTGTCTCATACCAGATCTGCAGAGACAGGTGAGCTGCATGAGACCAGTATGTACAGAAAACAGACAGGACTACTTTTCATTTATCAATAATTCTTCACATTCACCTGCCACATTGCATTCCCTCTGAGGAGAGAGGCATGAAAGGTGATCTCTTGTTAGATGATTCTGTATTAAATCTTACAAAACTTATTTTAGAAGGTATTTTCTTAGGCATATTCAAGGACCAGATCAATGAAAAATTCTGTACATTCTCTGAGGCATATATTCCCACCTGTGTTGTAGTTTGCAGGTTCTGTAGAAAAATCCAAATAGAAACTGCAGATTTCACATTGGGAAAAAATAAATACATTTCACTCATTTAAAAAATTATCACAGTAGGAAAATAGCCAGTAAACAATAGATTCAGGGGGGTTTAATCTTGGCCCCAGTGAGATCAATGGGAGTTTTGCCAAGGATTTCAAAAAAGCCAAAATTCTACCCAGAATCATATACAGTTCTTTAGCTGACAACAATCATAAACATCCTGCCACCCCATTGTATAAGTTAAATATTAATAAGCATCTGTAAACATCCTGCAATTCATCTGATATAAAAAATACTATAATAAAAACAATGCAGCATCTCAAGCACTGTATAGTTTTAAGTTTTTTTGGCTCTACACACAAGTTGGCATCATTATATTGGGCAAAACCAGGGTATGTATGTATATACATCTCTATGTACAGGTATGCTCTCACATACACACTATGAACTAGGTACTACACACATCCACACAAATACTGGCAAGAGAATGACATTCATAGGTATGGCATGTAAAAGCCTACCCATGATCAATTTGAGGATCACTTTTACGTGAGGAGCAATTTCTCTCCAAGAAAATCATCTGTAGGCTTACATGTAAATGCTCTAAGCGAAATACAAGAACAATCTCCAAGGGGCCTAAAGTACTGTTTAAAGCACAGCATATGCCTAAGTCCCAAAAGATCTATATGATTGCAAAGATGATGGACTTTCTTGTTGAATGAACAGGAAGAAGGGGAAACAAAGGGCAGAAACTACTGAGTTCACACCAGTTTTTAACCAAAACCTCTGCAAATCATGTTAGATGTTTTCATTTTCAATTGAATATAAGTTTGGATTGGGTGGAAATCATGCGTTTCAGCTCTTTGCTACAAACTGCCATTTAGACCCAAATATATGAGTTATGCAGAGAACTGGACAGTGTCACATGTCTGCAATGCTTCCATGTGTACTTCATGCATCCACTCACACATGTAGGTGGATGTTACTACAGAATTAACTAACAGCTGCACTTGACTGGAATACCAGTGGAAGTTACAAGCCTGGCTAATGACAGAAACCACGCTGGGCTGGGATCCTCTCAGAACCTTCACAGATACCTTTAGTTGAAATTTACCTTTCTTAAATGCCAGAACATACATTAAAAATACATTAATGCAATCCCACAGTGCTCAACATTTGAGGATACCTGCTCTAGACAGACAGATGTGACAGTGAGAATTTTCGTTAATAGTGACTGATAAGTTTGCCATCACCATGAATTAAGACAAGAAGTTGCTAATATTATATGACATTAAATTATTTGTGTGTGATGACAGCAACCAAGAAGAGCCAGAGGGAAGGTGCAGAGATCAGGCCCCCTTCACCTTTCAGGAGCACCCCAACAGCTTGTACTCTTTATGTACAAAGCCCATCTATTGCATGTCTCATCTGCCACTGTGAATATCACCTTGCCCTTTGATGACACCATCAACATAAAAGCATATAAAATTCCTAACATAACTGGCAGCTCTAGGGAGGTGCCATAGTTTCAGCTCTTTTAGGATTCAAAGGATATAATATAAAAAGTTGGCTAATGAAACAAATTATTTCAAGACAGGTTCACAACCTGTGCTCCTTAAGTGGGGAAAAATGGTAATTTTTGTCATATATGGACAACTCCATTTTTCAAGGTACCTGATTTAGAGAGAGAAAACCAAGACAGAAAGTACACACACCACAAATGACAGATGCCTGTAGAAAATCCTCTGGAACATGGCTAAGCACAGTCCAAATGCCTGTTTCAATGTATAGCCATAGCATCTTGTGAGAGGACAGTGCTACTAGGAACTTTCACAGTGAGTATGTGCATGCCTGTGTGCTCCTTGTAAACCTTCCTAAATCATCCAACTAGAAAATCTTATATGCTTGAAATTCTCATTAAAAGCCTCCAGGCCCTACTTTTCAGCACATGTGCTCTCCCCATCCCTGAAAAACAAGACCAAGCAGCTTTGAATGGTTTTCCTCAATCTCCCAATTCACAAAATAATTGACTGTGACTGCAAAGAGAATTAGTCCCAGACAGAGCTTACTTCAACTAACACCAGGAGAAAAACATAGTTATGTCTCTAACTCTTACCCCATTAATGGCAATGTCACTATTTTTGTCCAATTAATGCTTTAGTTTAAAAAACCTGGGACTTAAAATGTTAATTCCCTCTAAAAAGTTACAGAAGGGATTCGGGGTACTGTGGAGATTTTATTTTTGGCTTTACACACAGTTTCCATAATGAAAACAAACCATCCAATTTTACTTTTAGTCCATTTTTTCCTGTTTCCACCTTCGAGTTCACATGCTCTTGTCTAGCTATACCTGGATCAAACACAGCTCCCTCAAACAGTTGTTTCCAATGAACTTGGAAAAAGAATTAGTTGCAAATTACTTTAAATTTTGTACCACATTGCTTTTATATTCAGTAGCTTTTTTCAATCCTAACACTAGTCTTTGAATAATATTACAAACAATATTTTTCCAAAGTATTTGTTCCACAGAGTAAAATATTCATTGGCTACTTTGATTCTTGTCCTATTCATTGCTACCATAATGTTCAGTATTTTCAATGTCTTACACAGCTGGTAGAGTTAGCCAAAACAGTTTTCTTTCCAAGGGCATTCTGGTAGCTGGTGCTAATTGTTAGATAAAGCTTCCAGCAGGCATTGCAAACATATAACTTAAAGGATTTTAGTCCACCATGGCTATGCTAGGCTTTGGAGCCTGAAGCCTTGGTCAATCTTGCTCTCCTTGAGCACCCTACAACTTTCCTGGCCTGCCCATCCAGCTCTTCTGAACAGAAACCATGGAGAGACATGGAAGTCTCATCTTGCCAGAAGCTGGGAACTTATCCAGGCACAGGAGCTGGGAAGCAATATAAAAAGATTTATAAAGGCATGACTGGAGTTAACCATAAATGAGGCACCAGCTTCTTCTGCCTCACTAATACAAGCAATAGGTTATATGAACTCAAAATCCCATCAGAGAGCTTATCAAGTTTTTGTCAACTGGGAAACAAGTCTGTAATTATTTAAAACAGATATTTGAATTCTACCATGTGCACATATGAATTTTCTATTGACTGTTGTGAAGGTGATAGGTCTTTAACCACTACAGCTAAATTGATTAAAATTTGTTCAGGAATCCTCTTGGGTAAATTCATCAGCATTTTTCTTCTTTGCAAAAGGGTTAACAATGCTAATATTTTTTAATTTACATGTCAAGGGGATGATGTTTTTAAGATTAATTCTATGCACTAAAAAACCTACAAACCTTTAAAAATTAATTTTTTTCAGTGAAAATACTGAGGGCGATCACTATTAAGCCTACATAAGTTGCTATGAATTTTGGTATTAGCTCCAACTGGCTACAGAAATAGTCTTCTCAAGGTCTCCAGATGGCTTCCAAATGGATTATAATTTCTGAGAAAAATACTAGGCTTCTGTATTGCAGAAACAAACATTTCAAGTACATAAGCTAATACTTAACAGAGCTATGAAACCTAATGCAACAGTAGTAGAAAACAACTAAAAAAATTTTTTCTTTTTGTAAAAAAGATCCATTCCACACTATACTCTAGATATAAAGACAGGAATTTATACAAATAAAGATTTTATACTGATAATTACCAAATGATGCTTTATCAATTTTGCTGATGCTACTATTCATCTCTGAAGAAGAAGCAGAGATATTTTAAGTCCTGTCCAAAGCTGAAATCCTGTCCAAACTCATCAGCTCCCTCAAGTCATCAAAAACTTGTTCTTTAAGACAGTGATACAGTCATGTATAGTTCTTGCAAACATTAAATCTTCGCAGTTAGAATAAGCAGCATCAGACCCTGATGATATGAAAATCATACCACAAAACATACAATCCACGAAAATAGAATAAAAAATACAGGACAACCTGTGTTATAAATGTATACAGGATGCTGGAGTTAAATTATTGGGGTGAACAAGTAAATTTAAAATTACTTATTTAATTTTATTTTCTGTGGCTCTTTACTTACTCATACAAGTGACAAGATGATTTCCTGGCTGTGAGCTAAACAAATTGCTCCAGCTCAGTTACCCTCGATGAGATACCTTCCTTGTCACTTTACCTTTCACAAAGACTTTTTGCACTGCTAATTATTAATTACCAGAACTGTTGAACTCATAGGCAAGAACTCAATATTTAGGGGCACAGAGAGAGCACTGCAGAAACAGCTGTAAACACTACTAATGCAATCATTAACAGGAAGCATCAAGCAAAATGGAATCACTATGGGGGGTTTTGTGTTGCATGTGCATTATTACAACTGCTTTAAAGTAGGACTATGGAAAATCCTCTCATATTTGCTTTATATATTAATTTTCCATTGCATGTGAAAAAGGTCTCCTACCAGTCTTCCTGAAATGAAGACCAGATGCATTGAAAAACACTGATAATTTTACCCTTGAAGTACTGTTCATTATCAAGGCTTTATGAAATTTTCATTAATAGCATGAGCAAGCTCAATTAAAAAGTAAAATTGGCAGGTTATCTATTTCACTACAAAAAGCATAGGAAAATATAAAATGGACATTAATGAAGAAAAAAATCAATATCTCTCCTTTGAATTAGAGTGATGCAGCATTGCAGTATTAATTACTTTGGGCAGGGAGAGAGAGAGAAATGTGATTTCTATTTATTATTTACAGGACCAAGCATGTTAATTCCAGTCCCAAAACAAGAAATACTGGAATGAAATAGTCTGGGAGGGTTTTGATCATATGCTTTACACTTTACTGTTCTTCCAAGTTCAAAGCATTTTTCTTTGAAAGAAGGAGACATTCAGGAGAAACAAATAGTGGCTAAGGGGAGAGACATAAAAATGTATCAAAGAAAATTTTCACTTGCCATCTTATTAAAAAAAACCTGATTTTTCAACCCTTTTTTCTTTGAATTATTGCAAAACATCCCCAACACCTACAACCATGATGAGTTGGCTTGATTTCATTCAATATCTAAAAAGAAGGCATGAGGCTTTATAAAGGCAAAACTTGCATGACGTAAATCAGAGGTTGCTACAGCAATCAAATACAGTGAACTGAGAAAATCCTATTTGAAAATGACAAAACAGCAACATACATTTAGCAACCTGCTGCTATTTTAAAATACGCAGTTCTCATGTTCCTCTCTCTGAGGATGAGAGCTTTTCATGTATATGAATACCAGCCACTATAAAAAAATGCAGATTACTCTGAACTCCTTTTAGGCTTTAATGTATACTGACCACAGAAATCACAAGTATTTGACTGGGGGGAAAAATTAATCCAGTAAACTCTTTATAGGGATCGTCTTGATAAATCTAGCATGCTGCATCAGGCTCCACAGGATCTTGCTTTCTAAAAAGCTAACTGCTTTTAGGGATGTGTTTACCTTGGTTTTGTTGAAATACTGGGATGTGTGCTTTGAAGCACTTTTTACAGCAGGATTAAATTAGGGAGAATACAGTTCATTTAAAAATATAGCTATTTTTGTACTTAGTTCTAGGAGCTGGGACTTTTATAGCAGTAAGGAAAAAAACCCCAATACTTAGAATAATCATGAGAGAGTAATACTGTGCTCAGGTCCTCAGAAAAGCCAACATCACTTAAACACAGTTACAACCCACGACCTCCACAGAGAACCCCTGTAAAAATATTTTGAGCCTACTTGTCAGATGCATTTGCACTTCATAGCCAACACTAGTCTAAGGCATAGAGTTGCATAAAATTTGCTCTCCTGGGCATCTAATAAATACAGCATAAATGATACTTACAGTTTTGTTTTTTTCCTACTCACGTGTTTAAAAAAAACTGCTTAGGACAATTAAAGTTAAATTCTTTGGTGGTCATTTAGAAAAATGATCATTGATCAGTTGTCCTATACTGAGGTAATTTGAGGAGTGCCATAAGAAAGTTGTGTTACAAGCAACATTTGACCATTTTCCCTGCCCAAAAGCAGCTCCCATTTTTTAACAGACTCAGTGTAGACCTCTACAGTGACTTGAAGAGATCCGGTTCCATAGCCCATCTTAATGCATTACATACAGCAAGGCTGAAAGTTGTAAAGAGATTGTATCTTACAATCAGGAAAGCAAAGAAAGTTCTGCTATGTATTATGTCCTTGAATAAACCAGAAGATTAGCTGTGTTGTCTACTGTAACCCAAATAGGCTAAAATGCTGTCACAAGTTAAAATACAGTGTAGCTTATGGAGAACCAAAGAGAAAAGGAAATAAAGCTTACAAAGACTTGACAGATATCACCTGAACATCATTAAAGGGGTGAATGTCAAGTACATTAAAATAAAACCAAAACCAACAAACTTTCCATTGGTTGCCTAACTTTCCATTTTTTGTCTATGCTTTTCATACAACAGCCTGAAAAGCATATCATTTGGCAAAGGCATTTTGGTTTGTTTTTTAAGCAAAACTTAATAGAAAATAGCCTTTTACTTTTGTTTGTTTACCAGAATAATCATTATGTCCACAGAACTCCCAGAGTGATGCCTGTTAAACCTACAGCAGCAAGAACACAAAGAACTAGAGTAAGATATGGATTAAGCCTGTTTTTTTTATTCTGATATTTTTTCTCCAATAAAACAATTAGGATAATAGATTTTACTTTCCAAGGGATGAGTCCCATCTACTTGCCATGGAACAGCTCCTGTCATATGCATGAGAAATGGAGAGCAAAACCAGGATGCAGTACTTGACATTGGCCCCTTTATACAAGAAAATAAGTTTTGGTAAAAACCGAACGAAACCTTACTCTGCTGCCTATGAGGAAAACATAAGTAGATATTAAGATACTCTTTAACATGCAGGAAACATCAAAGCTACTTGATTATGTGAAAGTCAAGTGCTCCTTGTGCTGCAATGACACATTGATAGGAACAGCAAGGAGACAACAATTCTGTGCAAGTTTTCTGGCAGGTGGTGCAAAGTCATCTCAAACATTTAGGTAGGATTTTTTTTGTAGATATCTGAAATTTATTTTCTGACTAGATTAATACTTTTGTGAAAAGTTAACCAGGAAATTAAATTATGAACCTGTTTCATTTAAGTAAAGTGTAAACAACCTTATAAACTCTGGTCTAGAGCAATTTCTAAACAAAGATGGTTTTAACTTTTTTAACCTGTTTACACTTATGGATTGCTGTCTTGCACGTGATTCATCCTAGCATGCATAGTCTAAAACCTTAGAGTCCAGGTTTTTTTCATTTTCATGGTCTACTAATGGCGGAGTGATGTCAAGAAACAAACTGATACCTTTTTAAAGAAATGCACACAGATGCATTTTAAAATTAATAGTTAATTAGCAACGAGTTAAAGTTTACCCCACAAAAATCAAATCAGCTGCTACATTTTAAATATCTTCTTATGTATGATAAATAAAATTAATTTTTCCTTTAAGAAAATTTCATTAATATTTAAACCTGCTTTTGAATAATAGAATAAATAAAACCATTAGTGCCTACAAGTTCAAATATGCTACAGATTTTTAAGATAACTGAATAACTACATTAAAATGCACCATGAGAAGATTCTTCATCATTTTCCATGCAGGAAGCCAACTGATGTTTTTGTGAGGTACCGGTCTTTCAAAAATTCTCATAAGTTAGTTACCTGATAAACCTTCTGTACATGATATATTTAAAAATCTAACTGTACAGTGTTTCAATCATATATAATCTGCTGAATATGGCACAAATGCTAAATTTCCACACCCACACACCCTTTGCCATAGAACACATTTTAGGCATAACACAACATTGAAGAATAGAAAAGTGCCTGAAACTGGAGGAAAAAAACCAAAAACAAACAAAAAAAAAAGAAACCTCAAGTAGCAATAAATTAAATCTCATTCAAACCTATAAAAAAGTTGTTCAAGTGTTTAAAGTATCAGATGTGTCATGCAACAGAACAACAGACAATTCAGGCAGGCACACCATGCATTATAGTTTGCATTCATGGTATCACAATGTATCTCTCCCCTCTTCTGCACGGCCAGCGAGTGCTGGATACCTGCGGCACTGCCAGGCTCACGTTGGAACCTTCCCGGTCTTCCTGCACAGGAGGTTCACAGAGCTACGCCTCAGAGGGATAACCAGACGACCTCATGCTGTACAGTGGCATCTTGCTGCAGCATAAAGAGAGGCATACTGAGCTGCATTTAAGCAAAGCAATCATTTCTTGATTATATTTTCCAGTCAGTGCAGTTCAACATCAACCAATCCATTTACCAAACTGGGCTTATCCAAACTGGCCAATCTGCACGCCAAGAAAACGTCTTCGCAGAACATATCACCTTTTCCTTTTTGTTTTGGCACAAATCCTTTCATACTCTTGCTGCAAGTTCTTCACCACACAAGAATTCAGAGATGCTAGCCTGTACAAACACCAGTGCTTATTCTTCCATAGAGTAAACAACAAGGACAGCCAAGTGCCTGCAACAGCTTTGCTTCTCCAGCAACTTTCTCCTCTCTCTTTAAGAAAAGCACCAGCATAATTACACTTCAGACAAAGGGGTGTTCTTGCTGAGCTCTTTAATTCCCTGGAGAATTCGCTTCATATGACCCACTTTCGTTATCCCCAGGTCCTACAGAAAATTTAAAAAGAGAAAAAGAAAAGAACAGAAGAAGAAAAAGAAGGAAGTTTACTTTTAAAAAGGGAAAAAGAAACCCCACTGATTATGATCTATCCATGCAACAGATGTCTAGAAATGTGCTCACTGCAATCAACACTAACCAGGAAGGGTTAGCAAGAGTTGCTTTACAAAAAGACTGCTTAGAGCATACAATGAATCCCTCTCTGTCTGGCAGACAAAAAATAACTTACCTGCACTTACCCAGGGCACTTCAATATATGTCAAAACCATCTTTAGCTTGACTTCTAAATACAAACACCTTTCACAATTTCTGGCAAAATAAAGAGAACAATCTCCCCCTCCTCTCTAACACAGCAATCAAATGCTTGGTAGAATGTGATGGATTGGAACTTCTGTCCAGCAATGTCACTTGATCTGAGGCCCTGTGATGTCTGCCTTAATCAACAAACACACATATCCCCAGTTTCTCAAGGGAAAGTGGATGTAATGGCTACAGGAATGTAGGACAACTTCCCTTTAGAGAGCAATAGAAAGAGTAAGCATTTGTTTTTCATTCCAAAGAGGTTCAATCTCCTAACATGGATATTCCTGATTAAAGAGCTGGAAGAAAAATTCTCAGAAACATGATAGTCATATCCCAAAGGAAATGTAGAAAGCACAAGAGTAAATCTCTTTGTAGCCACTAAATCATTCACATCACTGAAATGTTTCTGTATTGGTTTCCAGACCCGTCTCTGTATGCAACAACAGACAAGAATTTTTTGTAGCAAACTTCTTCCAGTATTAGTAATAGCTTTAGCAGCATCCTTTTTCAATTTTCGCTGGTCCAATGATCAGAGAAGCAGAATGAGATGCCCAGCTGTGCTAATGATCTCCCACCACACTAATGAATTTTCAGCTCAGTTTAGTGGAAATCTGCTTCCTTATCTGTAAAACTCAGCTATGAAAAAGTCTTTAAAATCCATGTGTTAATGGTGTTGAGTGATCAGCAGACTCAAACACTAGTTGTTTGTAGAATAAACCTTATATAAATAGATTGTGGTTAAATAACTAAAAAAAATAGAAGAGTTTCACTATTTTTCTGAAATAGAAATAATTTCATTTTAATAGGAAGATTTTTCCATTACAAAGACATTAAAAAGAAAGGAGTGCAATTAGGCAGCTTGAAAAAAATTTTCTCATGAAGAGAGGAAAATGAAACCATATATATTATTCTGTACATACTCTATAAAAGACTATAGCTACATTTCTACAGCCACAGAGACCTCAAAAAACCTATATTCTATATTACTTCAAAATGTTAGCATGCATTTAATTTTGGAAGAAAGGGATGGTAAAATGGGCATTAATTAATTATTTTATTCTAAAGGTAGCACAGCCAAGATTAAACAGATAGTTTAATTTTCAGAATCAAGACTGAATTCTGATTGTGTTAGAGAGAAAAAATACTTGGTTGTTTCTTTAGTTGAAAACTATCAGCACTATAAATCAATGGTCATCCTTTGGACTTTGGTACAAAGGTGTAAGCATTAGGGAGTTCAACATTTGCTCATAGGAGTTCCTAAAGCAAGCGTTGTTCATAAACTACCTGAAAAAACCTCCTGATTTTCTACACCATGTAAATTTATATTTTATTTTTGCTAATATTCATCTCACTTATAAACAAATGTAATAATTTTTAAGGTAAGAGAGTTAATATAGGTAGTAGTCAAATTCATTCTAAAATGACAGTAATATTTATAATTCTACATTTCTGTAATATTGTCCTTTTTATGTTAAACTTAATTCTGAACTAAAATAAAAAAACACACAAGAATTCTCAAGAACAAAAAAAACCCATATATGACTACTGAACCTAATGAAATAGCCTAGTTGCTATGTGGAGGAAATACTACATAAGGGAAAACCTATAGGGACACTTTCCAAACCACAACAAACCACACAATTTTAAAGGTTAAGAACTTAAAAATTCTTCAGAATAAATACATTTTCATGAGCAGAATTTCTGTTGGGTAAGCAATATAGTGAGATGCTGCCAGAGTTCAAAATCAGAAGAAAGAAACGTATTATGAAATTCCAAAAAAACTCAGCCACTTTTCCCACCAACCTTTGTAAAGCATTTCACAACACCTTTAATTCAGAGGCAAGAGATTTTGGGTTTATTTCTGTTCCAGCTGAAGCTGCTGTAATGCATACCAGAACAGCAAGTCTCAAGAGGCTCATCAAAAATTTTAGGGGCCCCTTTCTGCTACACTTCCAGTGGGAAAAACCCCCCAACTAATAACTCAGAATTGTTATGCTTTTATAATAGTTTTTGGTTTGGTGGAAACTAGAGTTTATACAGTCATGACACTAGATGCTACCTGTTCATATCTAATTTATATCTAGTTAACAAAAATTCAATTGGACTAAACTACAGTTTTGAAGAAAAAACTCTAGCCAGAGTCTGAGAAAAAAAAATAGCCTTTCTTTTTTTCTAGATATGGCCTTAGAACTACAGTATCACCTCTCCTCCTGCTCTCCCTAACTCCTGTGCCATTTCCTGGACATTTTTTGGCCAAATGTACCACCACTAGCAAACACTTTATGTAAGAACTCCTTAATAATAACATCTTCTAAATGTGAAATCCGCCCTACTTGCATCCCCAGTGTAAAAAGCCATTTAGCATGTCTAAAGTTTAACAAATCTTACAAAACTTCTTCATAAAAGAACTTTTTCAAAACATGCTACTGAAAACACAGGGATGAAGTGTCACAGTCCTTGGCACAGATTTAGTTTGACTGGCACTGCTTATCAAGTTGATCTGTGGCAAGGAAAGCCTTTCTCCAAGGAAACCAACACTGCTATGGAGCTTTAAGGAAACATCATCCCCTCGTTCTACCAAATGTGTTGCAATTCTGATTATGACTAGGTTGCATGCATAGGAACATGGTTATCAATGCTAAGAATGCCAATATTTATTTCAGAAAAATCAGTCACGTTTTCAGTAAGTTTCCTTGTAAAATAAGGTTTAAAAAAAAGTCACACTATGCCTTCTTTCTACAGTTTTCTGCAGAATAATTCACTATTTACTGCCCAGCCATTCATCAAGCAAAGCAAAATCATATGAGTGTAAATTTCTAAGATCCCCCTAAATGAAATCAGGCATAAGAGGCTGGAGAAAGGTCATTACTTCAAGGACTGGGTGGAAAGAGATATTCTGGTTCTTCATTTGCCAATTGTCACAGAGAGCTCCCTGAAAATGGGATCCACAAGCTACGCAGAAAAAAAATTAGAGGTGCCCAGTTCTTCTGTCAGCATTTCAACCTGTTCCAGGGATGCACGCAAAGGATGAGTGTTTCATCAAATCCTTCTCCACACTGCTTTTTATCTCTACTTTTGACCACAGAAAGATAGGTGGGCTCAGAGGATTCAATTAAAACAGGCAGCAATTTTTCCTGCTGCAGACATGAACGGTAATAGAGGTAAATGTATTGCACATGAGTTAGGAGCTCATGAATCAATGGTGATCTCGTTTAGCTTGTCAGGAAACACAAGCCTTGCAGTGGAGGAGAGGCTGTAGACAGATTAGCCTGCAGGAGCACTGAGGGCTCATCTGCACACCTCGATAGCCAAAGGGAGGAAAGATTCACAGGGCAGCTTGTGACGTGTTCCTCCTTTCCCAAGTACCACATTCCACATCTTGACACCAATTCAGGTCACTGGCAGAAAACTGCAGGCTGCCTGAGCCATCCTTAATTGGCTCCCTGCAGAGACCATGCCCTGTAATCAGCAGGATGAGCACTAAATTCTGCTATTTAAGTTCAGTGCTGCTGCATGGAGTGCAAGACATGCCTGGCCAAAACCTTGGCCCAGCTCATGAATGACATTGATTTGGAAGCTCTCAGCATTTGCTAATGAGCACATGGGGCGATTCTGGAGCAAAATTTTGGTTAGCTCAGGACATGCCCTTGGCCACTTGTGTAGAGTAACTCCTCACCCTACGTGTCTACAGGCAGCACTGGGTAGAGGAGACAGGAGGCTCTCTGTAGGACCTCTAAGACAAGCCTTTAGATATTTCATGGCACAGACCTTTGTGATGGGATTTTATTTACACTGAACCAGCATGAGCTTAGCAACAGGGATAACGGGTTGATAATTACCCTGCTGCAGATATTTACTTGGTTTAAGTGCCAGTCCACTGGGCATGCAGTCAAATTGGTACTAAAAAGAAATAAGGCATGGCCAGAAGCCATGTCCAGTTTAACACTCATCTTACCCACCATCATTTATTCCAACAAGTTGGAGTTTTAAAATTTTCTTAACATTTTAGCAAACCTATGCATTGTGTGATGCTGAGTTTCTCAGTTGAATTTTAAGTTTGTTCAGCACCCATTCAGAATAGGGACTTGCAACATCCATCACTGGAACACTATGGATTGCTTGGACAGTCTTCTATTTCTAAATTTTTGCAGGGAGGGACTGTCCTGAAACTGTCCCTCCCTGTCAGAAACTATCCTGAAAGAAAGGAATTGAACTTCCATGGAAAGAAGCTTAGGCAATCTAATACCAAAGAGTAAAATAATACACAACAGCCAAACAGATTATCTCAAACACAGTTATTTTCAGCAGCTGCTTTCTACTGCAACAGTCACACAATGCAAGCACTACCTTATAACACCAGGATTTCACTATATAAAAAACTTTACATAAAATAACACATATGTGTGAAAATATTGTCTCTACCTGGAGACTACTACACTCTGGCTAGAACAATGACTTGCACTCTAAATGTAAATGTTTGCAATTTATACAATATCCTATTTCCTCTCTTACGTGCTAAAAGCAGTTGCAAAACCCATTACCAAGAACTCATTACTACTGAGTTCCTGGAAAAAGTAATTTAGTGAATCCCCAAAGATACTGCCACTATTACATATAATGGATGCACTTAAGTCGTTCCTGAAAAAGACCAGCAAGCTCAAATAACAGCCTCAAACTGCATTTCTCCCCGCAAAACTTATCTATCTGACCTCAGAGGAAAAATGTTTTACAATATTGGAGTAGAAATAAAATACTCTTTTTTAAAAATCTATACAGTCAAAATCAGAGGTCGGTCACCAAAGAGAAAACCTATTTTGACACACAAACACCAATGCCATGTAAGCCAAATACTGCAATTTATTAAGCTGCTTATCTCTCTCACACCCACTATATCCAATATATACACAATAAATCATGTGGAGCAGATCAGCCCCTGCAGGAAATGGACTTAAAATTATTATGACCACTATCAACTGATCCATACTGATCATGTTTAATGGAAACAGTGAACTCTTGAAGAAAACATTATATTACACAGATGCCAGTAAGATATCAAATGTACTTCTCCTATGCCTTCTGACATAAACTGCAACACTATCATTGTACATAAAGTGGAAAAAAAAAAAGAAGGAAATTTTGGATAACACAAATATTCTTGGTTGTGAGTTCAAGTCAGCACTTCAGAAAGTCAGGCCCAAGGACAGCGCATATTAGTTTATTGCATATTTGCACAGTGTAAGCCAAGCTACAAGCAATGACAAGTGCAGGGAAAGAAGAAAAGTTTGTTGTTGTTTTGTCAAAGAAAATGGTCAATAGCAGAAAAGTAGCACAAAGGAAATACCTTAAGATCTCGCCTTTCCAGATGTAAAAGCTCAGAGCCTCGGATGTCATGGCTGATGAAGATTTCTTTGTACTCTCCCAAACTGAGCAGATCCAGCCAAGCAGCAACTTCATCTGTGCCCCATTTTTGAACTACCAAAGTTAAGAGCAAAACCCCCTTAATTTCTACATGCTCAAATGCATTACAAGCAAAGGTTAGGCCAAAGAGAGTGGAAAACAGAGAAGAATTGCCGTGCTAGCAAAGGGAAAGGTTAGAAGTGTCTTTTCCACAAAAACTGACAATTTCCTTTTTACATGCAGGTTACAGGTTAGCAGTTAACACAAGAAAAGTTTCTAAACAATGTTGGGGTTCTTTGCTTTACAGCCATGCTTTCAGCTTTACTCCCGTTTCTTCAGTAAAGCCTTTAAAACCTCATGTCCCAGCAAATTCACATTAAACCAGCTTAGGATCAGTGACGCAGTCTAACGTTGCTCTGCTTTATGCCATTAATTTATTAGTAGTCATCCAGGGAGAGGAGAAGCCTTCAAAAACTAATTAACACGTAAAATTAAAATAGCAACCATACCTCAAATATAGCAATGGCAGCAAGCAAGTCCAGTTTTAATTAAAAGATTCTAGTATTCTTAATTAAGACAAAAAGTACTCTTTAAGCTACTGTGTTACACAGGCCATTAAGAAGCTCTCTGTAAAAACATTGTTCTCTAAGGTTAGTTGCCCACATTAGTCCCATTAAGGCCACATAGATTAGAAAGTTATGCTACTTATTGCTATAATTTTGCAACTTAATTCAATGTTGATAGCTGCACTTTATAATGAAGAGAAATCTGATGTCTAATCTGAAACTTAAATCTGATCAACAATTGCAAGATTTTGCAGATTGTGATCAACTGTTCATTTATAAAAAAAAAGACATAGAAACAGTTTTCGGACCATCCAATCACTGATTATGTCCTGGACATAATCTTAAGGAAGCAAGTTCATGAATAAAAATGGGAAGAGAGGAGGGTGGAGTTTGTTCAACTTCTAATTAAAAAACAGTATTGACTATCATGATTTTTTGTTTGATCTGTCTCACTTACTGAACCTGTAACCCACCCAAAATTTAAGAATAACTGGTTAATAAAACCAGTGTGGTAAAAGTTATTTTGCACCTAAAACTAACCTGAAAAACCTGAATTTGAGCTTCCAAGGGAAACAATGTGTTTACCCATGGCTTTTATGGCTATGAGAAAAACAAATGTATCCACCAACGAAGACACAGATCCTGTTGCATGATAAAACTTTAAAAAGTATTTTCACAGTAGTTCTTTGGTTCACTTGGGAGTATTGGGGTCCTATTATTTCTAAAAGCACTGAAAGAAATATTTATCCTAATGAAGATGCCAGTCGGGTGCTTTCCATTTTGACTTTAGTCTTACGTAAGTCATGTCACCTCTTACCAAAAAAAAAGCCATAAAATCACATTTACTGCAAATGCTACTACTTTTCTTGCAATTTCAAAACACATACCAGGCTGAGGGCTGGTCTTATGCTTCTGAATTTTTTCTTTTTTAAACTTTGGCACTATACGAAACACTGTACTTCTATTGTTTCTTTTAGCAAAATCCAGAGGGGGATCCTGCATGAGAAAAAAGGCTTCGTTACCTTTAATCAAGAGAAAACAACAGTTAAGTTACATGCTTGTGATGGCAATTTATAGTTACTCTCAAAAAGTAAGACCCAAATTTACTTCTGTAAACAATAATGTCAGGATTTAACTCTACACATGTTTGAATTATTAAATAGAAATTAAATATATATGTTTCATTTACTTATTTATCAATCAAAACCTTTACATTCACAAATGGAATAAAACACCAAAAAATTTTTCACAGCAGACAGAAATGATCCACCATCACTACTGAAAGCGCCTCAAGAGATCTTGAAAAATTGTAATTTTCCCTATTGAAAGAAAATTAAGTTCAGTTAAAATCAGAACATATTAATGAAACTTACCTCATCATCATTTGGTTGAAAAACATAATAAAGCCAAGGAATCTCAGCAAGTTTTCTCAATTCTACTTCCACACTGTGCAAAGCATCAGACAACAGTTCTTCATGGGGAGCTTCTAACTGCTGTTTATAAACAGGCCAGAAAAATAAGACTTTTAGTTTCATAAGATTTAACATTTCAATCTACAAACACACAAACAGATGACTACTTCATGGTGAGTGTCAACCAACAGTGAAGACAAATAATCTTCCAAAATTAGACTTTCCTTCAGAGATGTGTGAGACCATCCTCCCACTACATTTAGTATGGTCCCAACCACAAAGGAATGACTGAGAGAGCTGAGACTTTTGGTGCAGAGCAGTTGGCCATAGTTGTCCATCACTGTCATCCTTCACTACACTCCTGCGTCTCTACAGAGCAAGAGTTCTCTGATAACATCTCTACAAGGACACACTGGAAATAGAAACTACCAAGAGAAGGGAGACAAAACCTGATGAGAAGAGCAAGTGGCTGATAAGTCTTTGTACGAAAAATGGTGTAAAAAAATTGAGTAGATAGTAACAAGCCTCAGTTATTCCTTGCAAATGTGTTCAGATGGTAGATCACTCTCTCATGTTCAAGTAAGAAGAAATGGATCTTGCTGAAGATTTCCATTCCCGAAGGTCTTCCAGTGGTGATATGATACCTGGACTACCCATTCTAAATAGGTGAGACAGTGAGCAATAAGCACTGCTGCTGGCTGAGGATGGAAAGAACTCCCTGGCAGGAGACAATAAGACAAGGACATTAGTAAAGGCCAAAGGGAAAAAGAAAGTGGTGGCTATGTGAGAACATTGGGACTAGATGATGCATGTAAATTTGGCTCTATTAAGACTTTGAGAACCCCATAGAGATACCTGTTTCCTTTAAAACTCCAATCTGAAAACTGTTCTGCAGCTGTTGTGTGAGTGAACCGATGTGGAAGAGGTAAGGCAGGCAGCTGATCCCTGGAAAAGCTCATCTGGGATTGCTGAAACACCATTTTGAGGTAGAGTTGAATCCTAGACCACGTTCCTTGGAATCATTAATAAAGCAATCTGAACATGTATTTCTCTCTTTAAAGTAAAAGTAGTCCTAAAACAGTGCAGAATATCCTTCTGAAAAGATCTAATTCTGTTACATCCTAGTGAATGCATTTTTAAAATGGAGTTTTAAGAAAATCTTGGATCTCTAGTGCTGGAAAAAGATTTTGACATTGTTGGAGTTTGGTGATAAACTAAAAGCCCCACTAATTTATCCTACCTGACAAAAATGTCTTTCCTTTGCTTCAGTAGTCTGCATACATTCCCATCTTTCAAAGAAGAGAGCATCTTTGGTAAGATCTTACTGTCTAGTACAGTTATACTGGAAATAGAAGTTCCCTTTGCTATCATGTTATTTTCTCTGCTAAAGCTCAAAGAATTCGGTGTCCATAAGCAGACTTTGATCTTTCTTTTGAGTGATCTTTTTTTTTTTGTCCATTTGAACAGTTAATTTGGAGCACAGGGAAAGAGCCACTTTTCTTTTAAGAAGTTACAACTTTTCTTGTGTTTTCGTTTCTGAGAAATTACTCAAGTCATCTATTTTCTGTAACAAAATGAAGCAAAGAATTTTGTCTTTCTCAACAAGTACTTATCTAATTGCTTGATTCTCAGAGGAAAACATTTTGCCTGGGGACAAAAAAATGCTCATCTGATGCTGCTCCTGAAATAAATCCAAAATAATAATTCTGGTATAGAAATAATCAGCAATTCAGGGTAAATTCTCCTCCTACAACATCTTGGAAAATCTTATTTCCAAGATAAAAATTCACACTATGAATGAAGAAATAAAAATAAAGGAATTTTAAATTCCTTCTCTGTTTAAGTTTTTGGTATGAAAATATTTTATTTCAGTGAGTTTAGATAATTTTATTCAGTTGAAATGAAACAGTCTGTCATACTTTTTACTTAATGTATTTGAAAACTGTGCTCTGTTCCAGACTGGATATGCTTTTTAAAATTAAAACATGGAAACAATGCCTATGGAAAGTATCTAGACAAAAATAGTATTTTTAATTTTTTCCCAATTGTATTCCAGCCATAAGCATCCAAGAGATTCCACAAATCAGCTTCATTGTCCCATCTTGAGCAACCTGGTCTTGTAGATGTCCCTGCTTAAGGCAGAAGAGTTGGAACTAGAAGATCTTTAAGGTCACATCCACCTCAAATCATTCTGTGATCCTATGTTATTAGCATTTCACTAAAAATTTAATTTTACCATTTGTTGTGATTTAATGCTCCTACTGTTATATGAACTTTGTTAATCATAGTTCTTACAGGAGGTTTATTTATTATATGTTTATTTACAGTTTTTTTCTTTTCCTCAGGAGCTGTAAGAGCAAAACTCAATAGCCAGTAAATGGCAACCAAAGAAGCAGCTTACCAAGAGTCCTGATTTAGTTGCTGGCTGGGATTAAACCAAGAGGTATAAGCACCAAAGACATGAGTTTACTGCTCTCAAGAGCTTTGATCACAGGAAAGAGGGATGTGTGAGAAGTGAAGATGCCAAAAATAGAGGAAGATAGGAAATAAAGAATGTCCCTTACTGTCAGAGGAGAAGGATCCTTAGCCTTAGGAGATCACTTTATGATGGGAGTGGCAGATGCATCAATCAACATCTTACACTTCATCTTTCTCTATTATAATAGAATGAGGGACCAACATACATGCAACTTCAGTATTTCTAAAATACACAGCAGGTTAACCAGGGTTCCTTGTTACTGTGACTGTGAAATACTGTTCTAAGAGAGCACAATGTCAAATGAGTGTAATGGACATCTCTGGAATATTATCTTGGTGCCTTCCAAACAGCCTTTTCACTAAAAAAGGGCCTGATGCAGCCTCATGAAGACATTTGCATAACCATAATGAGAAGCAGAAGTACAACATGTAAAATTCAGAAATGGAAAAATGAATCAAATTAAGCTTTGGGGCCTGAACAAGGGCCCGGTTCATCAACACAGTGAGATCACAACCTGCTGCAGAAAAGGTAATGTTTCAATGGGAAGGTTTCCATAATAACATTATTTCCAAACTCTCTCAATAAATTTCACCAGGCCTAGTATGGCATCACAAACTTAAATATTTTCTTCTAATTAGTTTTGTAAAATGATTTAAAATTTTTATTTTAAAACCTCTATTTTAATTTCCCACTAAATCTGAAATATATGGGAATAGCAATTTGAAAAAAAAACAGCAGATTTTTTCCCTTTTCTTGGACAAAAACATCTAATGAAATAATTTTCCCTTTGAAAACACTGTAAAATAAAACATGTGAACCACATCTTTGACTATTTCTATAATTTAAACAATTATTAGCCTTTAGATTATATTCACTTTTGGTTACTCTAAAACAGACTCATATCTTTTATCACTTGTTTTAAAAGGTGTGTGAACCTGCAGTAAATTTTATATCCCAACTCAGCTAAATGAAAATATTCCTATTAATATCCATTTTTAATTACAACACTTATATAAAGAAGTAATAATCTGCTTTTGAATCTAAATAAAATGTAACTGCTCCTACTGAGTATCTTTTAAATGTAAAACTTGACCAGCATAGAAAACCTGACATTTTTCTTCTCTTCACATTATCAATAGAGAAATTTTCTAACTATACATCCAGATACAATTGTTGAGAAATCTTCATAATTTTAGGCACAAACATTTGCCAAAGAAGATACAAAGTCTTCACGTACCATTAGGGGTTTACTGAATACTCACCAGTTAAAGATTATAAAATAACTCCTGACAGGTATTAGAACAAGAGTGATATTTACTTGCCCAGATTAGGTCTGTAGAAGTTGATTGCATGAGTCTAAACAGCTCTCACCCCAGGCTCTCCTTAAACTCTGAAGATAAGTCACATAATTGTTCTCCAGAAGTTCTCTTAAACACTACACCTCCAGAAGATAAATCATCTTTTTCCAACAGGGGCCTCCAAGACAGCCGAGTGTGACCCAGCCTCACAAGGATACCTATTTCTCTCCACTGAATATTAACAAGAGTCCAAGCAATGATTTAGCTGTCTGAAGTGAGGCAAGATGGATGCCAACCTAAGAGAAGATTTCAAAACTCATTCTGATCCCATAACAAATGCAGTGTAATCTTCCATCAACCTCACAAAGCTTCTTCCAGTGTGTCCTCACTTGGGCACCAATTTACAAAAATCAGCAAAGAACAAACCACGGATGATCTGAATGAAGGAATAAAACCATGTGCTTTGTGACCTTACCAAAGGAACTCTTCCTACTAGCAGAGATTCTGTTTCGTTGTGTAAAGCCTTCACATTGACAGCTATCTCCATGGCAGTGTTTCTGGTGAGGCTCTGGGGAATAGGAAGCATAAACATTCTTTGAAGTGATGCAAGTCAGACTAAGAGTAAGTACTTTTGCCTTACAGCACAGATCTTAGGTGCCTGCTCCTAGTAGAAATACATCAGTTTAGCTCTAAACTGACAACCTGTTCAGCACTGAGAATAGAAACCAAAAATAGTGTAGTACCAAAAATAGTAGCATCTATTTACTGTCTTTTCCTCAACTTTATTTAGTATGCCATTAATACAATCCTGAAGATCATCAAGTGATCAGCTACCGTATCAATCCACATATGACAAAGGCCAGCAGAAAAGTTGTGCATCTCATTTAACAGTGACTACTGATTTCAATTTTTCACCTTCTCCTCAGCAGAAGCAAGATACTAACCATACTTCAAGAAGCAAAGGTCATCTAACATATTTGCCATGTGTCAATTTAGGTTAGATATGGACAGCCTCTACCTAATTAATCATTTCTGGGTCCAATCACTGAAAACACCCATATTATCTAATGTGAAGAGAGAAACCAGGAAACTCATTTTCCCTCAGCCCCTTTGCCTTCTCTGTATAGCACTTGGATAGCAATTAAGCAGGAAAATTTCTGTGAAAGCATCCACAGAAATTGGTCTTTATGAAGTAACAGATCTGGTTCAGCCTTTGCCATGCCTCCACTCTCTGTGAGGATATGCCTGCACAGTTCCAGGTGGGGAGGACATTGCTGAATTCACACACTGCATCTCTGCCTTCTCATCCAACTTGTTTTCAAGTAGGGACAGGGAGTACAATACAGCCCCCATGCCACAAGCTCGTGCATCCAGATGTTACAGCATATTTACATAAATCTTTGTTCTTCTTTACCTCGGGGAACCTTGGGTTGGCTTTATTTAATGCATGTGAACATGCATTAACAGCATGAGCAAGCTCCTGCTCCAAGAGGCCATGTACTTTTGCTGCTTCACAGATCCTACAAAAGCATTTAAAAAGGAGAATAATATTTCTTAATTTCTTTAAAGAATAATTCTTGAGTACACAACCTGATCAGATAAGAAAAGACACAAGAATGTGTTTCAAAAAACACTTAGAAAATTATAGTCCTTTACAACAAAAATTGAAAGGCGAGTATCTCTTAAAGCAATATAGCACCTCATAGAAATTATATCCATCACACAGGTTATTTATGATGCTATAAAATGTTGATATATTTATTTGTCTTCGAACACTAATGCTATACAAAAAAGAAGGACTAAAAATGTTGGTCCTATCAATTCAAGTAAACTACAGAGGGAAACTCCAGCACATGGCATTAACTTACTTGAAATTATCTTAAAAACCCTTACACCTATTTCACAAGGCATATCCTTCAGATCTGACATGAAAATTGGCTGTAATCATTTAAGATTATGGGGGTCCAGCTGTAACTACAACTTTCAGACCATCTCTAGAACAGTAAAGTTTCTAAGATGTCTTGGCTAAACTTCACTTTGGGTAATTGATAAACTAAATTATTTGTCTATGACCGCAGTATAAGGAGAGTATGTAGCCCTTCCTTTCTTTTATTATTGGTAATTTTGATGCTGAAGATAATTAGCTGTTATGATAAAATTAATAGCAGCTTTATAAAATGTTCTGATTTTTTTAAAAGTGCTTTTCTTTATCTTAGCCCATATGAATGACTGAAGTGTCCATCCTGCTGACTTCTAGAGTTGACTTCTAAAGGGTTTTTCCAATAATTCCCAATTATACTTTTGTTTTGTCATAAAAAGAGACACTTCAATTTTTGCAAAGAAGCTTTCCAGTTTTCCATTTCTGTTGCTACTTCAGAAAGTTGGATTTTAAAAGAAAAAAAAGCCACAAAAACACATAAACAAAATTTAAAAAATAAATAGGAAAAAGCACACAAAAAGAAGTTGAGCCTTAAAAACAAAATAAAATTTTTAAATTAGAAAAAAAACAACTGATATAGTGGCAACAAAACTTTCATCAAAAACTGGGGAAAATGTACACTTCTACATCTCTGTATGAATTTGCATTAATAATTTGGTCTTGGTGTCTCAGTTGCCAATCCAACTTATGAATTTGACTGTACCTGGTAATAAGTTCTTCTGCAGCTTGTGAGCACAACTGGATCTGTGCAACTTCTTCCTCTGTAGCCAACTCAACAGCTTGCTGAGGGTACAAGGGAGATCGAATGACAGGTTTGCAGGAATCATACTTCTGTTTGTCCTCCCAAGACTTCAGGGTGTTTTCAAAGGCCTAATCAAAATTAATTATACATTTAATTCACAGCACTTTGGAGTATTCTTACTCATTAAAAAAATTTAATTTTAATTTTACATATATTTAAATTAAATATTATTTTAGTCAAAATCAATTTAACAAATAAGTGCTTGATTTAATTTTATATAAATAATACTACCTGATTAAATAATAATTTTACACCTAAAGTTTTTAAAACTTAGTATAGAGAATAAGTCACTTCTGAAAGCTTATTCTCTGTCTCCTCCCTATGATCTTCAAAATGTGTCTTCCAAACTAATAAGAACACAAAGGCAGTGATAATGATTGGACTCAATGATCTTAGAGGTATTTTCCAACCTAAATAATTCTAGAATTTTGTGATTCTCTAATGCAAGTACATTTTGTGTGGATAGCAAAACTGAAATTCAAAACTGATACACAATTCAAACATTAAAAATGGTGGAGAAAAAACCCAAATTTACTAAAACGGAGTTCAAATTCCACCTTAACTCCACCCCAAATTCAGGATCCAGCTAGTGGATGGAGAATTGAGGGGCAGTTGTACCTTTGACACAATAGTCCTAGACAAGCATGAACTCTCCAGTGGCTTTGTGACTAGACTGTACTTGTGTCTCTCCTGTCTCAGACTGGCTGATGAGGGAGAGGGAGGATTGGTAGAGATTAGAAAGAGAAATCTGCAGAAAGCTATTCTGGAAAATGGACAGTATGGAATTTTGCTATTTATGCAACTGTGCTAAAATTTCCAGTATGTGACTGGTATAACACATCTAGACAAAAAGCAAAAAGCAGTGGAAGGGGAGGGAGGGAGAGGGCAATAGATAAAATGTTGACCATTCTTACTATATATTATTAAGAATATAGGAATAGCACTAATAAAACAAATAAAAGTTAACAAAGCTTTGCCACTTATACAAAATAATAATTCTCTATCCAGCTCATTATAGAAATTATATCACTGGAAGTAACTGTATAAATGATATAAATAGTTATAAAACATTTTTACAAGTACTGTTTTGTTCATGTTATAACTGAAACAAATTATTACAGAAACCAATGTTAGCAATGNTAGCATCTGAGCTCTGTTTTTATGTATGATCTTAATAACTCCCGGGGGCTGGATCCATGCCTCTCCATCGACTTGCACTGGAACCCCTTCGTCACCAAGTATGGTGATCTTTACTGACCGGCACTGGAAAAGAACAAACACATTATTTTACAGGGCAGCAAATACTGGTGAGACTGACAGGCCACCTGTAATCTGTTGATTATGAGGAGCTGTGGCTTCTTTCCAGAACTGTCTCAGGAATTAAGCTCTCCTATACTTCATTCATCATTGAAGACGATTTGTTACCCGCTAAAAGCAAAACAATGTCAGTGCTTTATTAATGTACAGGGTGGTGGTCATCAAGAGTCCCGCTACTTGCCAGAATCCCAAACTGCTGCCAACCATCCTGCATGCTTGCAAGTAACCAACAAACCTGAGCTATCCTGTGGTGCTGCAGTTTGATGACTCTGGACACTGCCATCTGCATGCTGCCAAATACAGCAACAACTTCTAAGATTTTATCATCAAACGATGGAGCTCCAAATATCTGTGAGGAAAAGAAAGTATTCCATTTTTGATGGCAAATCCAGTGCTTAGACTGCAATGAAACACAGATTTATTTACAGATTTGTTTTCAACATTTAAATGCTCTAACTTCTTTACTACATTGTTTCTGGACTAACTACATTGTTTCTCCAAAGTCATAGGAGTAAGCTACCACAGACAACAGGCAAATACCATTTAAAACAGCAACGCTGATACCATTTGAAATATCTGAATGACAAGGAAGGATGGCATTTATATATGACATTATATATAGGAAGGATGGCATGCTTCAGCATGCAGATTAAAAAATCTTTTTCAAGGCAAGATGAAAGACAAATTGAAATCTTTGCTTGGTTAATGTACTTAATATCTGAGAGGTTCTTGAAGATGAGAGAAATAAATGCTTTCCTTTTCTTCTCAGAAGTGCTTAGCTCTTTATATTCTGAATTCTCTGAAAACCAACATCCGAGACCATGCTCTGCTTTGTTTAACACAGCTTTGATACTGAAGACAATCTTGTCTGTGCTGTGTATAATTATCCACTGTAAACAGGAAAACCACTTCTGTGTGGAACCAATGTCCTTCTGTGCAGCCAAGGTGCTGTTTCCACACGCTCACACAAAGAGCAGGAAGTCTCACCACCTGGTGTGCTGCTGGGGAATTCAGCCACAGGACAGATCTCAGGCTGGACTTCAGCTGGGTCTGGCGGGTGATACCATGCTAAAGTCACTTGAAGCTTGGCCATTTCATCTTGATATGCAATAGGGAGCAGTGAGGGAGAAAAATCAACGGGAGAAATCACTCCAGTAAGAGTTTAATGGGTAGAGAGATCGCCTCTCTAAGCAGTACTTGGGACTCCCTCAGTTGGCACCTGAGACAGAGTAAACTGCATCAGTAACACCTGAGACCAGACTGGAGAAAATCACAGTTTCTCCATCTGAATTTTTTTTCCCAGTTTCCATGGAATTTTTTCCATTTTTCAAAGGAATATATTAACATCTTGAAAAGAACCTAGATGGTGATTCTGCTGTCCCACAAGAAAAAGTGTGGAAAGTTCTTGATCCAGTAACTGACCTTTACAGGGCTAGTTCTGGTATGTGTCAAGAAAAAGTAGTTGTAAAATTTCATTTATTTTGTGTTGCCATTTCAGGAAAAGTCTTCTTTTTCAACCCAGTCTTCTGCTGTGTCTCTCCACCAGTAATATCTGTACTGAAAACCCATCTCTTTTTTTCTCTTTTTTTTTCTTTTAAAGGCAAACCAATCTCTATAGTTCAACATTCAAATTGATTCCTTTCCTGTTGCAGGTCTTGGGTACAGCCTGTTTTCTGGACACCAAAATAATGCCTTAACAAGCCATGCTCAAGCCAGTCAGGGTGCAGATGCCCTGCTTGGCTCACTGCTAATGTTTCAGCAATAGTCAGAGCTGTCAAGGTAACTCATTCATCCAGGCAAGCAGAACCAGCAGCACTTCAGACCATCACCACCACCTCCTGAAGAGCCATTCAAGACTGCACTAAAGCAATGAATTATGCTTCTAACTTTGTCCATAAAAAACATGTCACTCTGCTGGCACATCTGCTCACTAGAAGACTAATAATATCAGTAAAACTGCTCCAGGACACACACATTTGCTGTATAGCAATATGAAAGCTAGGACAGATCTTCTCTCTCACTGAAGCATCCAGGGAGACAAAAAAACCTCCTGAACAGGGGCTGAGCAGACACTAGAACAGCTTTCAAGTTCTGACTATGAACATGGAATATAAAGAAAATCTTTAGATATTCATTGCCAAATATAAACAGAATTTCCATCCTCTAACATATACCAAAAATAAGAAAAGGACACTACAACATGTCTGAATTTATTTTTTCACTTTTATATATGCGTATATATATACACATATATAAAACATATATATGTGCAATTATATATGTATTATATAATATAAACATGCAATTATATATAATAGATATTATATTAAATTATGTGTGCTATATATAGGTATGTTTGTATGTAAGTATTAAAAATTGAAAGGATAACAACTCACAATAAACCTGAAACTTTTTGGCAAAGAAGTCCTGGATTGTCTACATCAAAATCACAAGCCAGTTTGCAGCTACAGTTTTAGGTGATTCAGACATCACACACTAAATCAGGACATGCAGATTAGGATAATCTGCTAGTAATTACAATTGGTGCACTGTGAGTGAAGTGGATAGCAGCAGTAACACTGTTCCAGGTTGTAAGGCATGTAGGGATTCATGCAGTGAGATGTTTCTTAGGAGTTGAAAGGAAGAAGGGGAAAATACTTTAAGGTATTTTAAAGGTTCATTGAAAATAATATTCAAAAACCAGTTTACTATCCCCACTAAATTATCGGTCACTAAATGCATCAGTCTTCATTTTCTGAATCACCATCCCTCACAGCAAAGCTGTTTGAAGAACAGGAGGAAAAATAAGGTATAAACTTTGAGTGATTATCCTGTCTACCTTGCTTGTTGTTAGACTATAGCAAACAGAGGAATCTATGCTTTGAGAAACCTTATTTACAACTGCAAAACAATATAGAGAGAAATTACTTGTTCTTCTGTTTATAAAATTAGTTTCTAAAAATACTTATGGAGCCATTTAAAAAACAAAATCATTATGCTTTATTATGAACATTTTGCTGGAATGGACATAACAGAAGACAATGGACAGTAAAAAAATCATGGAATATATTTTCAATTAAAAAAAAAACCAGCAAGACAATACTGTTTGAACTGAAACAGCCGCCTCAACTAAGAGTTGTTATCCAAACTATATGCTACTACTATTAAAATCAAGTGAGCAGTTAATTATATTTATTGCTGGTTTTGCCCAGAAGGTTAAGTCTCTTTAATGCTACTTACATCATCTTCTTTGGTTCCACCCCAGAAATTAGTCCCACCAGCATAGCTGGGAATGTTCAGCACAGCTATGCCCTGCAGGCTTGGAAGGGGGATGTACTGTCCGTCACACTGTAATGGATAAAAGCTCCTTCAGTACATAAATAATATGATAGAAGTAATCAGTAAAGTGTAATTTTTAGCACATGAAGTTTCAACAGAACTGGCAGGGGAGAACAGAGTCATTAAGAAGTCTGGCACAAGACTACTCCCTCCATGCAATGAGGCACCTCTAAAACAAACCTCTTTCCAGTCTTAGCACTGACTTTTGCAGAGGTGAAAAATATGTAGATCTGCAAGCTGTAGTATCTACAGCAGTGGCGCTCCATGAGTCTTGAAAGAAACATTTTCACATCCCTTGTTTCTCATGCACTTAGACCATGGTCTGTCCATCAAGGATTAAAAATCTTTTTGCACTAAGAAAACCAATCTCCCTGAGTGCACCAAGGACATTACAAAAAGATTAAATTATACATTCTGTAACTAGTCTTCCATCCTATATCATCATTCCCAAAATTGCAACAAACTTGTTATTTAGTCAAATCCATTTAAGCCAGGGGCAGGGGGGAGGTTGTGTCAAGAATACCCAAGAATATTTCTAGCATAGCCACAAACGTTGTTAGCTGTCAGTGTTTGCATGTGTTGTTGACTTCCTGTAAAAATAACTCCACTCTCTCTCCTCCCAAAAGTGCAAAGACAAATCCAAAGCTGACCCCACGGCTGTCACCCTGGCTGTCGATGGGAGCTGTTGATTTTGCAGGTAAGGGGTCACTCATGTTCGACCATCCAGTCCTTCCTTCTTACTGCTTTATCTCTCAAAACACATCAGCAACTCCATGTGCTGCTCGACACTGTCATGGGATGACATCAGTCTCACTTTCGGCCAAGAGTCAGACATCAGTGAAATCACTCTTGACTTAAAGCAGTACAACTGCCTGCAAGGGGGAGCCCAATGTTCTCAAACCATTCCACTGGAAGTCAAAAGTGCAGTCCTGCAGCAGTGCCACAGGCATGGAACTGAAGCAAGTTAGAAACACAAGGCTGTAAATGCTAGACCCAGGTGTCACTTTATAGAACACAAAGTTGCTGATCCAAGCTGCCTTTAATGAAGATTGCTAGATGACTGCACATTACCAGTCCATAGAAGGATCTTAAAATTATACAAATGAAAAAGAAAATTTAAAGAAATAAGGACAAAATCTGTAGCATCTTTTTCAGGGGGAGAAAGAGATGCAAATTATTTCCAGAATGTGCTTAGTGCCTTTTTTTTATTAATTCTAGCAGCAAGACAGAATGTAACATTTTAATCAAAGATGTGACAGTATCCAAAATACTGTGTGATATTAATAGATGCTGCACAGCCATTTGTATTACAGTAGAAGTCTGCCTCTAATGCCTGAATATGTAGGCATAATATATCTAATATTATGCAAGACAACAGTAAATGTGAAATGTTTACTTGCTGATTTACTTATAGGAATATTAAAAAAATAATTATGGAAAGGTCAGCAGTATTATTTAATCTTATTTGAATCCAATTCAAAAGATCCATAAATTAGAATTCTATATGCAGTATACATAACTTTCTCTCCTGTCATTATATTTGCTAACTACTGCATAATTCCTTGATAATTACTCAATCCTTAGCTAACAGTAATCTGCTGCTACCAGACAAAATCCTTCTAAATCTCAGAGTGCGAAACAGCTCCAGTAACCTAAAATTATTCTTTCAACACAAAAAAGTTACCCTCATATAAATATCATAAATTTCTATATGAAACAGCATGAAATAAAAGGAGAAAATATATATGTTCTCTGTCAAAATCCACCTTAGATATTATTTGGGTGAAAAGAACAGTAACCATCCTATAGTCTTTTTCTGCATTTGGGAATCATTTGTATCTCCTTTAAGTTCCCAGAAACATGTGGAAGACTTAGATCTTATGTTAGAATTTAAAAGGCAAAAAATAATATGTTTAGACATGGAATTTGTTGTTGCTCTGTTAATATCTTGCTTTTTTTGTGTGACTACTAGAGAAAGCCTCTACTGGTGTAGCTTGGCTTCTTGGGATGTATATTCAGAATCTCTCCTTTTTTGTCAAGAAATGTTTACTATTTATGTACTCTTCCTATATGTGTAGCTTCCAGACACTTTAAATTGAATCTAAAGGACTAAGACTCCTTATCTCTTTTCTTCTCTTTATTTTATGGTCATTTCTGTGGTTGCCCTTAAAACCTGGTCTGTCTTTTGATACAGTGAATATTAAGAAATATATCCTACCTACACAATTTATTACCTGTTTTCAACCCAGTAATTACAAGAAACATAATACTGAGTATTTTGTGATCCTAAAGTACTGACATTTTACTCAAAAACATGACTTGGAGAACCAACTTTTACATAGCACATCTTTACACAATATGTGGCGTAATATAAAGGCACAATAAGTGCCTTTGAGGTCAGCTTGGGTTGACATAAGAACAATAACAGGCTTCAAAAATCAGCACTAATTCTTCACTACACATTGAGCAAGCAACTCTCTCCATAAATAAAATTTACCTCAAGTTGAACTTTTTGTTCTAAGTTCTTGTAAGTTCTCTGTAGTAGCTCTTTTGTGCCAAGAACTCCATACCACATCATGTTTTTTGTCCGACTTCTGAAAGCAGGCAAAACAAGATTCACATATTGACATACACACATTATTGTGCCTTGTATTTGTAGAAAAAAAATAAGAATTTCATATAAAGGGGTAAGGAAAAGAAAAGAATTAAAACATCTTGGCTCTGTTACTGACAGAGTAAATATATTACCTGCATTTTTCAGGGTGCTCTTCTCGCTTGTTATTAAATTCTAGTGAAATTTTTGCATCTAACCCAATTCCAAAGTAGTTGTTCATGACACATTTTTCTGAATATCCCTCCCTGTTAGAGGAAAAGAGAAAATCAGGTGTTCATTTGTATGGAACCTGGACATGCAAATATATTTGATCAAGACTGTGATTGGTCACAGAACAGAATATGAACTAAGATACTTCAAGAGATCTTTCCTCTGAATCTTCCTGAGTAAACTGGTTTGGGCTGAAAAACCCAGCTCTAAAAGACTACTGTCCTCTTCCTCCAGGTGAGCAAGGGATAAGTGAGCAATTGTCTCCCATTATTTTCAGCTGCTGCAAAAAAATTTGCACTGCTCATAACTAAACCAGCACAATCCAGCTTGCTTGTCTTCAGACACTGAGGTCTACTGCCAAATGATGACAAACAAGAACTTCATAATGCAAAAAAATAAGAGACTACAAAAATGTAAGAAGGATGCTCTTAAGGAAAGCAAAACAGTACATTTAGAAAAAAATAATTTCTTACAAGGAATCTGGATCCGGGTCAATAAACGGCGTAGCACCAAATGGATCGATGTTTGCTAGCAACATTTTGCTAATAATTGAACTTCCTGCAATGGAAGCAGCTAGACCAGCCCTTAAACCTGATTAAAAAAGAAAAAAACAAAACAAAACAAAACAAAACAGAAAGAAAATAATAAAAAAAATTTGTATTTGATAAATAGACAAATATGTAATATAAGCCACATACTGGGAAACAAAATTCATTAAATCTGTACAGGGGAAGATTGTGATTCTATGTCAATTTTTACCAAAATTGGTTATCTTTTCAGGTCTCTGGCTCCCTTAAGCAGAAAGGCAGCTATGCTGCACTTGTGGTGGCTCTCTTCAGGTACCACCATTGAGAAAGAAAAAAACAAAGAAAATTTAGGGTTTCAGGCCAACACTCACTGGCTGGTATAGTAACCAAATGGGTGACCTAACATCCAAAAAGACTGCTAGAGCTTTTCATTCAGTTTAATCTTCATCTCCTAACTGTCCATGATTTTTCTTTTGTCCTATACTTTGGAAGCCTACATAAGGAATATTCTTACCATTTTTACAACTGGCAAAGCCATAGTTTAACTTAATTTTTTGGGAAGATCATGGCCTCAACATGCCTGCTTTGAGTAATATTAATTTCACTCTACAAAATACTCTGTAATGCATGTAAACAAAGTAAATACTAACAGCTTTTTACTTAAATTTGTCTAAAGAAAAAACGTAAGCTTGGTTTCCACTGTATTTTAGCTATACTAATAAAGTTAATTAAAACAGAGTTTTACTAGTGCTCTCTAGTATTAATTGCATTTGGAGCAGAACAGATATTTTTTCAGGTCTCAGTTGCATTTGGGTAAGAACAGATTTTTTTTTTTCAAACTTTTTTACAGAGCAGCTTTGTGTGGTCAGTTATCCACTTCCAGACAGATACCTACAGATAGTTCTTACTCAGAGGGTTGAACATTACACAGCTTTGTCCCTCAACCTCTTCATCCTAATCCGTTGATTAGGATAAATGATAGAAGGATTTGGGGGTACCTGTGGATGAAAAATTGGATGTGACCTGGCAAAGTGAGCTTGTGGCCCAGAAAGCCAAATGTGTCCTGGGCTGCATCCAAAGCAGCTTGCCCAGCAGGCTCAGGGAGGGAATTCTGCCCATCTGCTCTGCTCCGGTGAGACCCCACCTGCAGTGCCGTACCAAGCTCTGGGCTCACCAACATAAGAAGGACATGGACTTGCCGGAACAAGTCCACAGAGGGCCCTAAAGATGATCAGAGAGCTGGAGCACCTCTCCTGTGAAGACAGGCTGAGAGAGTCAGGGTTGTTCAGCCTGGAGAGGAGAAGGCTCCAGGGAGAATTTATCATGCCCTTTCAAAATACAGAGCAGCTTTATAAGAAAGATTGAGAGACTTTTCACTATGTGCAGTGGCAGGAGAAAGGGCAGTGGTTTTAAACTCAAATATGATAGGTTTAGATCAGACCTAGAAGAGGGGGAAAATGTTTGGGATGAGGGTAGTGAGACATAGGAAGAAGTTGCCCGGAGAAGCTGTACAAGCCCCACCACTGGAAGTGTCCAAGTCAGGCTGACCGCTTTTCTGAGCAACCTGATCCAGTGAAAGAAGTCAATGCCCATGACTGAGGGCTGCACTAGATCATCTTTAGATGTCTCTTCCCACCCAAACCACTCTGCAATTCTATGATCATGAATTTTACTCTTCATGCTCCAGAATCAAATGCAACACTTCTGCTGCTTGTGGTGTGGTGCTATACAATACAACACAAAGATGTTGGTTCAAGCAAATTCAGGGCATGAAGTAAAAGTCATTATTTGACAGCAAGCAGGAGATTGGAAGTCAATATTTAAGTAGAGTAGGAACAACAGCTTTCAAAATCATAATTACCTGGGCAGATAATCCTTGTGTTAAGTACTGGGAGGTTTTCCTTGCTTGCTGCCAAAGCCGGAGCAGAGAAAGAACCTGTCTGAGAATGGATACCTCGGCTCGTACGTCTATCAGGAGATCTTGGTGCAGTTTTAGCTGTGCAGGAAAAACAGAAGTAAGAACACTAATTAAACCTATTATGGCATTACCAATGCATAATTTTTACAGTCCTGAAAATACATCAGGAGAATTAATTTAATCTGCTACCACTCCACGACAGAACTCCTTCCCCCTCACACCACAGTTTTTCTTTTAAATACAGTAAGAAAACTCAGAGACAGATCAAGTGACAAACACAAATTAAAATGAGCAAGTGTGCCTGGCACTCAACATGATAAGTTCCCAGCTTACACTTCAAGCTACCAGCAAAAGTATTATATGTATTAAATGTAAAGATGTTCATAAAATGTATTATATCCACCTTAAAATGCAACAGTATTTAACACTGCATTAAGCTTCTGAGAAACATATTACAGAAATAATTAAATTTAATCTATGTTTACTTATAAATATACACATATTATACAGTATATTATCATCTATAACAATTTTAATATAGTTATATTAGTTACATATATATAACTAATACATATATCTATACTAATATATATATAACTATATAGTTATATATAGTTCCATGGCCTGTAGGTTAGAATATCTGTCTCATCAACACCTACACTATTTTCTTCAAGCAGCTAAAATGGGCCTGTGCCTGCATCAGATTCTGAAAAAAAAGTCAGAGAAAACTCTGATATCTCTATTTACAGCCAAACTGAAAACTGCAAGGGAAGGGAAAAAGCCATGTTCACCTTCGTCTTCTGCATTTAGAGAGATTATGGGGGGGAATCAGTTTTCCATCACCTTTTTTCAGAGAAAAACTCAGAAAACAAACAAACCAGCAATTTCCCAAATGATTAACTTATTTATTAAAATTCTCTGGAAGATGGATCAGTGAAACCTTGACAGATATCAATGTTTAGTAGCTGATGTAACTGTTATTGAAAAAGGCTCAGGAAAAGGAAAGGGACGAAAATCAAGGGGAAAGAGAAGATATTCACAAAGAGTAACTGGTAGCTTAGTGAGGCCAGGTATCCTCTGGCTGCCTCTGGAGGCAATGAAGAAGGATCAGCTTTGCAGAGGGCTGACCTCGGGTGCTGTAATTTATATTCTTGGCAGAACTTGTTTCATGCAGCCTGAGAGAATATGCCAATGCCTGCTTCAGCCTGGTGAAGTTTATCTTTGTGCAATTCAGCCCCATCAGACATACCCAGAAACTGGTGCCCCAAGGAAAAAAGTTTGGGTATGACCAAATGCTTTATGATAGCATTTCCATGTGCATGTAGAAAACTCTCGCACAACAGATGGTCACAGACAGACACTTCTTGGCTATCTCTGCTTCAAATTATCTCGCATGTTAAAACTACTTCAGCTTAGGACAACTTCAAACATGACCATCTGAAGAAGCTCAGAACAAAAAAATGAAATTATTTCAAGATAATCTGATTTTTCCTCTCAAAACATGAAAACTAATCCAGCAAAAATAGAATTAGTAGGACTAGAACCAAGAGAACAGCAGGGAAACGGCACCAGGAATGTGGTGAGAAGGATAGAATTCATCTTTTTCAATGGCTGCCAGTGAGACAAATCAAGTCATGCCAATCATAACTTAGCCTGAGAGTAACATGGGTCTACTCTATGAAGATATTAATGGAAAGAAAATGTTGAGTGGGAAAATCTAGAGACACAAGGAATAACTAGAACAAGGGTTTAGACATTGTGTTCACTTAGAGCCAAGATCTGCCCATTCACTGGCTTTTTTAAATGATGATAATGTAACATAGAACTGTAAATGGAATGGCAAAGTGTTCACTCTCTTGTATCCCCAGAGTAAGATTACACACCTTCCTGGATGACTTGCTGAAGACAAACATAAATTATTATACACAAGACAAAGAAAAGCTGATGAATTTTTCTGGATTGTTTTATATGAAAGGACCAACCAAAAGGACTAACAGCTCCTTCTGATTTTAATACCTGCATAACAGCCACACCGGTTATCACAAAATGCTACAACATTGCATGGTAGCAATAAAACACATTGATTTGTACCTATGCATGACAAAACACTCTAATAATGTCAAAAAATAAAAAGGAATAAAACCGGCAAGTGGTATCTAACAAAAGCCATTAAATATTTAGATGAAGGTGTTAATATATAGAAAAACATTATCTTCATCAGATGACCAGGAAGATCCTTGGAGGGTAAAATATAATACTCAGAATAAAACTAACATTCATTTTTCATAATACTACTGAAAAATTCACAACACTGTTCACACAGTCAATTCTCTCTGTACTTGTGAACAAGGCAGTTGTATTAAACAGGAAAATCAGCAGAGCAGCTGCTCTTTATTTGACAGATGAGAATCATGGCAATAACTGCAATAAAGATAAACGTTTGCTGTGAATGCTCTGATAAAAACAACAGAGCCCTAATGAGTAAAACTGATGTTTCAATGCAGATAATTGATAATGTTTCATGCTTTGTCCCTAAACATCTGTTGTCCAGTGACAGCATTAATATGCACTCTATTCCACACACACAAGAATAATACAGCTCTCCATTAGATGTAGAAATTATAACATCAAGAAACAAGGAGTTAAAAAAATTTCTAGACCTGTAGATATCTTTATTATACAGTTATGGCAGTAGGATTCAGTCATCTGTAGGGCCAGCATCCTCTATGAGCTACTATTGAAAAGGGACAACCAACGTGCATTGATTCCTATAACCAAGAGAAAATAAAAGGGACCAGTGAAGATACAATCACTGGAGAAAGCCTGATGTGTTTCTAGAGAAAACAAGAGATCCTGGGTCAACAGAAGCCCCAACAGCCCTATGTCTTGTTTCCAAAGTAGGAGCTACAAACACAGGCACCAGCTTCACAGCAGAGCCTTGTGAGGACAACTTTTGAGCATTTTAGTGTGGGTTAGGGTGAAAAAAGGAGATGCAAATCCCAAAGTAATTTTCTCATTTTGCCCCAAGAAGTTGCTCACCAAGTGTCTAATGGATGGTCTTTGCTGCCTACCAGCTACCACTGTTTCTCTGTGACTCACAGACCATCTAATCACCTCACCAGCAGTGCAGCACTGTCCATTTTGAGAATATAGAAAAGACTGAAATTTCCACTGCTAAGAAGCAGCTTTCCTAAAATTTCTATGTAGCTTGAGAATCTCAGTCTACAACTGAGACATGCTATTGCCACCATCACCTAGGCTCTAGTCTTTGCTCAGGTTCATGTAGAAAGATGAGTGCAAACACTGAATTAAATTCAGGCATTTCTCTCCCCAACAAGTGTCTTCTCAGCTTTGTAAATATATTCCAAAAGACTGTTCATCTATTATTTTCCTCACTTTTCCCTTAACTTTTATTTATTCAAATCTATTGGAATTTGTGAGTAGTTTCCAGTCAAACAGGATGCTAGTATTTTTAATTATGGAACCAATTATGCTCAAAATACAACTATAAGGAGATGAAATATTTCTCTTTTATTCCTAATTTACTCACTTGATGGAGACTCAAGTTCCTTTGTATCTTCCTCTTTTTCTTCTTCTTTGGATTCATACAATTCTTTGCTGTATTCTACTGGAGACTGGTTCACTTGTTCTTCACTATGAGCATTCTGCTCATCCACAACTGTTATTAAGAGAAAAGTAAAAGTTTCAAGGATTCTAAAGAAAAACTGTATACATCGAAATAAGCACATTTTTTGGTAGCTTTTAGGTTTAAAATATCAACAAAAGAGTTCTATCGCCAATTCAGTAAAAAAGTCAGTCAACTCTTTACCAGTTCATAAAGATTTGCTGTCAGAAATTTTCATTTTGTGGAGGCTAATAGTTAAAAGAAATGCACTTTTACATGTGCACACACATACATACATGAGTACTCACACCTGCAGAGTCACCAACATTCAAACAAACATTGTTTTCCATGCAGCTTGTAATTTTATCTATGTAAGTATATAGAAATAAAATTTTATAATGAAAACTTATTCCAGTTAGACAAACAAACAAACAAACATCATTATCCTATTTTATTCTACCAGTCTGGATCTAAACGTTGCTGATGTGCACCTTTTTCTGCTTGTTCAATGATCTGCCTCACAGCCTTCTTCAAGCTGTTTGCTCGGAGCATTAACTGTTCCCTTGGTTTGAAGAGCTTCTGGGAAGACTTTGAGACACATTCTGCTAATTGCTCTTTACTTTCAGACAAGGATTCTTCACTTGAGAACTCCTCTGGTTCTTCTTCTACAATGGGGGGAGCAATGCCTGGGAGAATGGGAGCAGCCTGGGCTTCTGTATGGAGAGCCTGGAGCAATAGGTCCAGCTTTTCATTTAACTCTGAGCACTAAGACAAAGTGGGAAAGACACACACATATTTAAAAAACAAAATCGGCAGCGAACATGTGAATATTTTCAGGAAATACAGTATCAGATGATACTTAAAACTGCAGGTGTCTTTAGTGCCTGTGCAATTCCTTATGTAAAATCCAACCCGGGGTTCAACATTTTGGAATATCAGATTATGAGTAGGTCTGCATGGGCTTTTTGCAGATCCTGTGACACTCAACAAGATTAGAGCAATAATAATACAAACCCCCTACACTTAGATTCAAATACACTCCATGGTAAACTCAGCCTGTCCCATAACTGTATGGATTATATCCTACCCTTCTCCCAATGACTTGCAGCACAGAAAACTACCAGAGGTTTGTCCATACATGGGTGTTCAGTACCCCAATTTTGAGAGGTATTTATCAGCTGTTAGACTGAGACACATGGGGGTTTTTTTTGCAATACAGCTGTATATTTAGGCAAGTGAGTTGTCAAAGAGCAAGTGGCTCAAGCCACTCAAAGCACTCTCTGGCCTTGAAGCAGTTAAAAAGAAAAACTAATTTTCTAAAATGTGCACCGGATAGAAACATGAACCACAAATTGCCACTTAGCAAGTACATTTTCTGACTCTGGGATTGTCAAGGATTTTGTTTCCTTCTTTTCTTTTCAGCTCATGCAAATTTTGTGTTGCATACCAAATCCTCTGTTGTTTTCTTTCCCAATGTCTTTGCAACATGATCTCTGTATTTTGCAGTGTAAACCACTATTTTTAACATTGTGGTCTGTCTCCCCTTCATTCTTGTAGCATACTCTTCATTATCCCATTTTCCTGTAGCTAACTTAATCCCTAGAAGTATAACTAATGCAAAAAAAATTCCTTTTATCTCTATGTATGCTACCATGAACTTTATCCTTTATGAAGAAAGAAAGTATCAACAGTTTAAAGAGATCTCAGAGTTTAAAGATGGTTTGGAAATAATTAACTCTATGCAATAAGAAGAATTTTGAAGTCATTGGATGAAATTAAAGCCAAGCTAGGCATTCTAGAGCAATGCAAAAATTAAGCATCCATGAGCTATAAACTTTAAGAACCCAACAACTTTAAACCTGAACATAGTCGTAGTCTTACTTTAATGGCCATGGCATCAGCTTCCTCTGCATTTTCCATTGGTTTTTCGTAAGTCTTCCCTATTTTGGCAACAAAGTCCTTTACAGTTTCACACAATATTCTTCAGATAAAAAAAAAGGAGAGGGAAGAATTAAAATGAAATAGAATAGATATTTTTGAATGTTAAATTCTTATGGCAATTTATTTATATGTACACTGCTATATGGGAATATAGCAGTTTCTTATGGGAAACTGAATCAGTGATCATACTTGCAAATCAGATGACACTCTCTCCCATAGCTTCCAAAATTGAAGTTCTAAGCTTTAAAACAAAAACTCTTTCACTTAAGCTTTGGCATAAACTGTATCTCAGCCTCTTATCTGAAATAAACATGACTGATTTTATCCACTCCCTTGCTTGTACACTTTCCCTATGAGAGGACTGAGCAAACTTGCATTCATTTTGGTAACTTCAAACACAGTCATGCAAATTACCATGCAAAGTTGGAGCTTAAAAACCATGGAGAAAATCTACTGACTTTAGGGCAGCACTTCTTAGATGAAAGCATATGGCCACACACATCCCACTGCACAGCTCGTGCTTTTGAACCAATGCTGAAGCTTATCTGTGCAAACTACAGTGGTTGCCAAGAATTTTCACTGTGTAAATCAGAAAAAGACTTGGTTCTTGTTACCTGCAGACAGACAGCAAGCTTACTAATGGGGGGAGGATAATTGGTTAGACCTGTTCATTTGGTTGACATTTTTCTGACAGAAATTAAACAGATTTAACAAGGTACAGAACCAATTTAGGATCTGGAGTTAATAAAATCCTGCAGTTTAATCTTCTACATGTGCTATGTATAGTTTAAAAATGAAATTTTGTTCACTTGCTTTTATGATAAAAAAGTTGAAATTATATTCAGATATATTTTTAAAGATTCTATGACTGGTCTCTTGCATATTGCAAAACATAAGATTTTTTATTCATAGAGAAGGTATATGCAGATTCTAGATGATGTCCATGATTTGCCAAATTTCTCTCATTTCAAAACTTTTCAGTTTGGGGAAAAAATCCCAACAGTGTCGTAGATCACTATTGATTACACTGATATAGACAGGGCTACAACAAAGCTGCCTAAGCTAAAGTTCTGCTTCACACTGGTGAAATTATTTGTCCTCTAAACATATGCATTACAAAAAATAGCCAGAAGAAATGCAGTGTGAAGTAGATTACATCTTTGCATTAGTAACAGTAAGTTTCATATTTAAGCCATGAACTGATTTGGAATGATTTAACATCATTTTATATAGATCTTGTGCGATTATTTTTCTAAATTTAGTATTAAGCCATCCATTACAACTGTATCATCTAAAAATTTTGCAGAAAAGAATATCTACTCTAAAAGATATAAATCAAATATTAAGCCTAGCCAGTTGGCCATCCATGAGAATATCAGGCTTAGATAGAATGCTATTATGGTGATGATGTTAGACAGCAAATTTATCCCCCACATTGTACATAAAACCGATTGACTCACTTGGCAGATGATATGACAACTGAATGCTGATCAGAATTGAGAATTTTTGCAAGATGAGCAGCCACAGAATCTTCATAAGCGGATATCTGAAAATAAAGAGAAAAGAGACTCCAATTTCCACACATTTCAGCAGTTTAACACCAAGTAGTGAGTTTAAACACCTCAAAAATAGAATTCCTGATTTCCATTTCAGATCTAATACAAGGCCAAGTGTCTGGTAACAAAGGTTCTACATGCATTCTGTATTTTATGTACCAAATGTTTAATATTCGAAGTTAGACTGCATCTGAGAACTTGATCCACAGTTCTTTTCCTCCTGTAGAGAAAACAGTAAGTTATTTCTAGGCTAAAATCAGTCTGTGAGGCAGAAAAGACTTCTCAGATTTATAACAACCTACAGTATTATAATCTAATATCTTTTACTTCTAAAATAAGCAAAGCTTTCCTCAAACAAATTGCAGAGTAAGAATAAGAATAAGAATAAGAATAAGAATAAGAATAAGAATAAGAATAAGAATAAGAATAAGAATAAGAATAAATCGAAGGTTTGCAGTTATAATCTGGAATTTTCACTTTACTGTCAGGTGGGCTCTCACTTCCCAAGAACCACAACTGACAAAAGCTGCTAAACTGGTATAATGTTACCAAAAACCAATTCTCAAGCAAACCATTTATGGCTTAGTCTTTACAAGATCATTAAGAATTACAAGTTACAAAATACTCAGGAAAATATTGGACTGGATCAAAGATGCATCCTCACACACCATATCCTATCTTAAAATAGCTCTGGATCCAGACCTCAATTTTAAAAGAAAATTCTAACAAAATTTCAAATCCAAAGCTAAAAATAAATGCAGTTCTGACAGCTCCCTTTAATAATCAATTGACATTTCTAAGCATGCTTTTGTCTTTGATTTTGAGAAGGCAGATATACCACTTCAGTTTTTTCTCCTAAAACCCAGTCTTCATTGTAGGACTCTGACACTGAATCAGTTTTCATTTCAAAGGAGAAAACAAAACATAAACATCTTATCTGTAAGAATGAACTACAGTTTTTCAAAAATCAGTGCAAGATTTCTGGAAACCAAAGGGAATTAATCCCCTGAAACTGCAGGAGGAAGGAAGGGGAAAAAGAAAATAATCAAACATGTACTTCCATTTGCTTTTCACACTGTGTTATAATCCAACACCTACTTCAAGGTAATTATTTTTTTTTCTGAAATAGCCTAACTCAGTAAACAATGTAAAAAACCCCATTAAAATAGAGATTGAATAGGGTACTCAAAAGCAAATGGTTGTCCAATTCAGGTAATGACAGGTAATATAGCCTACAGAATACATTTTCTAAAAAAGTTTTATATGAGCAAGCAGTTCCTTCCATTTTCAGAAGGGGCTAAAAAAAAGTTTCAAAGCCAGAAATAACTAGAACAAAATTATGATGAAGACACACTTGAAAATTTTAACTGTCTTGAAAAATTAGAGGCAATAAAGCCTTGATCTGCATTGCTGACACCAGAAGCAGAGCAGTGTGCAAAGCAACCCCCTTAAAATCCCAGCCTTTTTGCATCTCTATATCCAGCAATCCATCAAAGGTTATAACCTCCTTGCCAATTAAAAGAGCCTGAATTATTAAATTGTTCAAGAGACTGCTGATTAATTATGGCTTCTCAAGTACTTTTGAGCTACAGTTGATATGCATTAACTTTCTTGGGAATATATTATTTTCTCATTTTCAGTCAGAATTTTCATGCCAATTAATTTGATTAAAGCATCTCCCTCTCTCAAAATTGAAACCTCATCAGCTAGTACAAGCACAAATCTAGTCTGGAAGACAGACTAAGCTTTTCTTTGATGATGCTTAGGATTTTGAGCTCTCTCAAAGAACAAAGAGAAAGTTTAGTCATATCACCTGATAAAACTCAAGCTGCAAAACACTTCTGTCTTTCTTTAGGAATAAAACCCTTGTCTCCATAATGCTGAGGGCTTTTTTTCAATGTTTAATCCAAACTCAACATAGCAGATATTTGCTTTTATATATTAAAAAAAGTATTTAAAAATTTATTTATAGTATCATAGTATATATATATTTATATTATACAGTAGCATAGCATTAAATACTAATTATACAATTATATACAAAATTATATACAATATATACTCAAATATAAGAATTATCTAAAATATAAAGTATTATTTTATTACATAATAATATGACACTAGAGTACATTCTTGTGTAACATGTTATATAAATACACTTTCTAATACATATTAAAATATACATATATATTCTGGAAGAAATTTTTCAGACAGTTTTGCTGCAGACTTCTTACCTTCATTCCTTCTAGGCAAATAATATAGACCTGGAAACCTTACTTACTTGAGATACACAGCAAGAAAAGGCCTTAGTTCAGTTAGCAGATCACAAAACATCTGCTTTTCATACAAATGCTTCAATTATGGCTACTGTCATGCCAGAAGCTCCAAGTACATGAAACAATAAAACAAAAATAAAAGTGCACCTGGCACTCCTCTGCCTCTTCTGCAGTCACAGGAAGAATAGAAGGCTTTGCTGGTAATTTCAGTTCATATGACATTATACTCCACCTGAAAGAAACATAAGTTTCCAGACTGTTAGTTTTACACTCTCTCAACTACATAAACAAAAACAAAATTCATTGTCACACCACAGAACAGCTATGCATAAAAAAAAAGGGCAGCTTATTTTGTAGGTGTAAACTATATGGGTGAAATAATTGAGATTAAAGGTAATGTTTTGTTTTATTGCTTAGATTATTTTTAGTGTTTTAATTATTAGTCTCATTTGTGAAAAAAGTCATGGGACATTCAATATAGGCAATAAAGATTTTCTGGAAAAAAACATTCACATTGTAAAAGAATTTGTGCAAACATACTGCAGAAGTCAAACAAAACTAGACATCTTCCTAAAGAAAAATCTTTAAGGTGACATTAGCTTTCCATCTCAACTAGAGGAGGCAGGCATGGAAACAAAGATGAAATGTGTTCCTTGATGTAGATATATATTTTTTTTGTCTGGTACAGGATAGCACTTGACAGCATAGAGAGTATGAAACCACTAATAGCAACAACATTCTTCAAAGCCTACTGAAAAGAATAAGTAATCACTACAGATGAGCCTTGGGAGAAAGTCCACTGAAACTACACCAAAAAACGAAATAGAGCATTTCTTCACTACAGAAAAAGGGAAACATGATTCAATCTACAAATTTTTCAGAATCCGTGGATCAGTAACAAGCATTTCTCTACATACTTTTCTGTAAAGCAATCAAGTAGTCTGCAGAAAAGTGTAAAATTTAAAAAAAAGGCTTTTTTCTCTATTTCATAAAAATAACCTAAAGTAAAATCCCTTATGATGACATTCAAGTGTTTGTAACTAGAGCAAGAAAAGAAACATTCATGATATAAGTAATAGTGGAAGAAATACTTCTCTCAAAAACTTCCAGTGCTAGATTGGAATAGCATGACCATTGTCATCTCTGATTTTTTTTTTTTTAATGGGGATTGCTCCTTTCCTTCATGGATGAAAATTACATGAAACAAGGAGTGGGAAGATCTTGGGTTTTTGACTAAGAAAATGCCTCAAACAGAAATATTAGTTATGGATCCAATTAGCCCAGCATCTTGTCAACAGCTGATGCATAGGGAAAGGATGAAAGCACACAAGGTGAGTTTTCCCCACATCCAAGGACAGAGAGCTCAGGTGTTTTCTAAATAAAGATACTACCATTAATGGTGTTTAATAAGCATGTATAGAGTCCCTAAAATTGCTCAAATCAGTTTTGAATCTACACAATTTCTTAATGCTCACAACTTCTTGAAACAGGCAGTCATGCAGCTCCTTCAGCCATGCAAGAAGCTGTCAACTTTTGAACATATTTTGAAAGCACACTTCCCAGTTCCATCAACCACTCATGCCTCTGACTCTTTAGTTTAAAAGCAGGCTAAAGAGCTGTCCCCATTACAACTGCAACTTCCTTCATGATTAAGATCTGCACTCAAAAAACAAATCAAGGCTCCAAGATGGATTTTAGGCCACCAGAAACCCAAATAAATACAATTTAGATCTCATGGTAAGTGATACATAACCACATTTAGGTTTACCTGTCTAGCATTTTCGTGCTGGCTCGTTCTAGTTTTTCCAAAATCTGAGGAAGTTGCGTATCATCATCACAGGATCCTCCCCAGCCAAGGACACGAGCAAGGTCATTTCCAGTACCAAGGGGTAACACTCCTAACTGACACTGAAACACAACACAGGAACAAATCTACTACTGAAAACTAGAAAAAAAATATGAGTAATTACAAATGCTTGCTATTTCAATCAACAAACGTTAATTTCACAGCTGATGTCTAAAGCCTAAGTAAGCCAAATTGTGCTATTCTGCTACAACTAGTACTGTTTACAACAGTGAAAACTTTCATTAAACAGTAACTACTGAGTTTGCCCCATACACAGAGATATAACAAAGAACCAAGTCAAGGAAAAGGTAAGCACACAAAATTAAGCCTAGTCAGTCTAGGCAAGGAAAGTAAATATGCACACTTGCCTGCTTGTGCAAGCTGAGCTTATCAATTTCTGACAAGACCCAACCCACACTTCCATCTCCACCACACACGAGAATCCTGAAGTTGTCAAACTTCTGAAATAACCGCAAACTGTAGAGAAAATGCAGAGCTAGTTACATCCATTAGCAAGAGAGCAGTGACATTCATTAGCAATTGTTACAAGAAAATATTGTGCACAGCATTTTTATGATCCTTTTATTGTTGTGGGGTATGGGGATATAACCATCTACTTAATTAACCTATCTGCAGCCCATCTGTCACTGTATATTCCACTTTATACTGACATTTCTGATAAATAACATGCCAAGTTATTCTTTTAAAAAATCCCTTGATATTGTTTTCAGGATTTTATAAGTCTGCTTTTATTGATTTTATTAATATTTAAAAAAAATAAATTTAAGTGATAAAATTGCAACTGCTCCATGCTTCTCACTTCAGCCAGAAGCATAATGCACCACTGGGGATTTTTCACAAGAAGAGGTTAAGACACAATGGCAGGATGTGCTCCACAGTACGAGTGGGCTTCTGTCAGTGCGGAGCTAACTAAATGTGAGGACCACTGAGAGCAAAAAAAATCTTAAAAAAAGATGATCACAATATAAGACAAATAATACAAGTATTTCATATTATATCCTTAAAGTCATATGATGCTTTTGCTACCTATTGCTCTTCCTCCTGTTCTCTGACTTTTAACACCTCCAGAATACAACACTTGGACAGTACAGAAAAGGAGGACAAGAGAGACAGAAAATGTAGAAAGGTGAGACACAGAGGAAACGGGAATGAGATGTAAAGAAACAGCCAAGAGGTAAAAACAGAGACTTAAACTAAAAAAAAAGAAAAAGAAAATAAATTTGAAAATTATACACTCTTAAAATACAAACAACAAAGATATTTCTTTATAATGCATGTTATTTTCCAGAATATGTGTATTTTCTGAACCATTTAAACAAAGCAACATATCAAGATCACAATTTTTTAAGCATTTCTATTTTTTCTAGAGAAAATAATGTCACCTGAATACAAGGGGCACATACCTACTCAGAACAAAAGAAGAGGATATTTAAGGGGAAGAAATGTTGATACCAGAGCAATTTATCCTATCCTGAGAAAAAGGAGAAAACCCCTAGAAATACACTGTCTCACAGAATACACCTCTGCTTTTTAGATCAACTAGAGAAAAAGAAGACATCAATGTGACCTGATGGAATAATTGCTAAGGACCTCTCCTTGGAAACTGTTTGGGAGAAGTACTTAAAAACACTCAATATGAACTGCAATTTCCGTGCAACATCAAAGTGAGCCACCTCAGCCACGGGAGAGCTATATGAGGAAGAGAACTTGCAAACATATTTTTCAGACTGTCTCCTTTCAAAGACTGTATAATCAATTTAGACAAATGTTATATGTCATTATAATTACATGTACAAAATGCTAGCTAAAAGTGACTTAGATTTAGCTCAGATTATCAGGGTTATAATGAAAAGAATATTACAACTCAAATGTGACCATAACACAGTACTAATTACTATAATCCACAGCTGTAATCAATTATATTTGTATTATTTATGCACTGCTTGAACTGAATTTTTGTGGATTTTCTTCCTCTACATTTTATCATTAAGTATAATTCTGCATCTTTAGTAGGACAAAAATTATTCCTTCTACTTGCTATAACTGATACTATTAGGCCATTTAACCACATCATTATATCTGAGTGGAATTGAGTTAGGCAACAGAAATATAGGCACAAATTTAATCTTCATAAATGTGCAAAGATGCTTGAGTTGTGGCCACCACTATGCAAATTTAATCGCTATCTCTCCAGCAATCAACCCTTAGATTTTGGGGAGAAATACCTGATGGTTTTAATATTGTTCTTGCTCCAAATTCTGTGGGATGGTCATTTTCTTGACTATTTGCATATGTTGCATAAACCATATTTTGGATATACTTTTCAGATGAGAAATTTTTCATGTACTTGTCCATTACCCACTGCAGACTCCCCTGCTGATATTTGTGTTCAGAATTTTAAAAGATACAGAGAACATTTAGACAATAGTTTTATTCCATAGCTACACACAAAAAGGTCAGGAATATCAGAACTATGCATGTGAAATGAAGACAAGCACCTGGGCAACTTGTAGAAAGGCAAAATCAAAGTTCCTGTGATACAGGAAACCATCTGAACATTTGTAACAGTTTTGAGCCTTACCAGTTAACAGCAGTCAAAGCTCACCAAGAGCTTTTGATTTTGAATTTTTAAGCTTTTCACGAAGGAAAACATTATTCTACAATCCCTTCACGCACCGGAATTTATCTTGAAATTCTGCTGTCTCTTAGATTTTAACTAGGAAGTCAGAGTAGATATTGATTGATTGATTGATTGATTGATTGATTGATTGATGAATTATAGCAACAAGGGGATATAACGCTATAAAACAAGGGGAACACAACACTATACTTTGCACCTAATTCCCTTGTGGAAAGGCTTGCTCAAGATTTCCAAGGTCATTACCCTAAGTGAGGTCCTCCATTCATTAAATCGAAGACCTGAGCTGGATTTAACGACTGTTTGAATCGACGAAGAAACTTTACTCCCTGATTGTCTCCACTCTTTGAGTTAACAAAAACTAAAAGAGGACTGGCACAGGATGGCGGGCATGTGGCTTTCCAGAAACCTGTAAACATAGTCAGAAAGAATGAAATAAATAAGGTTTCCTAATATGTACAACACAAAAAGAAATCATGGGAAAGAGGAAAATAGGGATGAAGGACAAAAGGAGTACATTTTATTATGCATAATGTAAGTGCTAAACTGAGTATTAGTCCTGCAGAAAAACCTAACTGCACAAGATTTATCAGGTTTTTTGTTTGTTTCTGGTATTTTCAGTGCCTAGATCTAGTAAAATCCTGAAGACAATAGCTTTATTGTTTTTCAACTGCTATTAACCTTTTAGAATACTTCTTAAATCTCATCTTTACAGATTATTATCACGTAATTGAACATATATTTCAGTTACAAGTGTTTGGTCTTCAATCTTATTTTGCTTTAGTGGGTCGAACTGGATCATTCATGTCTGTATGAGCTTTTTAAGAGTACTCACAGATTTTAAAAGTTACTTGTACTCAGTTCCTCCCAGGTGAGACTTGGCATAACAGCCTTGTTTTCAGACTGAGGTTATACTATTAAGTATAACAGAATCACTAAACAAAAGAAGGCCTTCATCTGTGATTCAAAACTTATTAAAGCCAGTGCAGATCTTAACTAATTACAGGTCCTACAAGGTCCTTAGTCAGAAGCACTAATGGACACTTGTCGCTAACATGACCAGTCCATGGAGGTAATGGTTTCCCAGCAACACTTCAAAATCAGACATCACATGTATAGGTTTTGACATTTGTCTCTGGCAGTATTAAAATGATTATGCTGTTTTCAATTACTAAAAAAATACTAAAGCTACAAATAAAAAATTTCATTAAGGGATGCTAATTTAATTCTACATTATCATAATGTCTAATTTCAAATAAGGTCTGATTAATTAATTTAAATGCCAAGAAAACTAATTTCACATATTGAACAATCTTCAGCATGACAGCATGATGTGTAAGACACCACAAGGCAAATAGCATACACAATCACTTTTACAAACTTCATGTAATAAAGTTCATTGAATTGCATCCAAGCTGCCAGTCTACTTTGCCATCGACACAAACTATAAAATTAAAGCAGTTAACTTTTTGTGATACTTCTTTTTTAAATCCACTCTCTGCCTTGAAGTGCACATCTCACCGTTGATGTGTCTCTATCCTGAACCATGAAAAAGCATCTCTGAGTTTTGAGCATTTGCTGGGTTTTTATCTGTGCGTTGCAGGACTTTTACTGCCTATATTTAAAAAATAAATTAGAGAAGCTATGGAAGCAATTCTTCTCTTGAACCTGATAAAGTAGTTGTTGGATCTAAGCTGCTCAGCTACCTTATCTCTCCATAAAGCAAAATTATCCAAAATTTGAGAACTCGCAGATGGAGTGGTATATGCCAGGCAGGCATCAGCTCACTTCATCTGAGGACTCTGATCATTCACTTGAAATGTTTCTAAGGATCATAAGTAAAATGGAAGAAAATTTCTGTGGGGGCAACTTCAAATAACATAACAGTTGAATAATTCTCTAAAAACCTACACAGAAAATTTTACTTCTCTGTAAATTTGCAGACTGCATTCACCTGCTCAGCAGAAGGATTTTAGCCTTGTTTATTTGCATGGATCTCAATAGGCACTGGAAGTCCAGAGGTAGCACTGAACACACTACAGGACTACGTACCATCAGAGTCTATACTGTTTAGTGCTGTTGGAGGGATGATCGATACCTTACATTGGCCAAGTGGGCATTTACGAGGGTACAGATCTTTACAGGCCGTGTGAACCTAAAAAAAACAACCAAAAATTGGTTTCCTTCAGTGGAATTTCGAGATGAAAATACAACTGATACTATGTTATCTATGTAACAAAAATGGACTTGTATCATTTCCCTCTACACCTACATTTAGGTGTAGAGGGAAAAAGAATGAGACTAGGAAAAAAACCCAAATGTTCAACCACAGAGCCTTGTAACTAATTCAACAAAACATTATTTTGGAGAACTTCAGCTACTCTACAGCAGATAAGAATCATCTTTGCTAAGGAATTATTTGCCCCCATCCATAAGGAAGGAAGAAGCAAGCTACCACCATCTGTGCTGGTGGCAGAAGGCAAAACAATAGCTTTGTACTTGCCTGGTCCACTGAGGCCCTTCTGGAAGACGTATCTGCATTAAAGCCAGCACACCTACCAAGCCAGACCCATCTCCCAAAGTTGGGTTCCATAAACTCCATATTGTAAAGGTCTCTTCCACAGATATTGGAAAGAGAGACACATGCAGAGGTGGCTCCATTTCACCTAAATTTCAAGTCACCTCTGGAGATGCCAATCATTTCCTACTGCTCACACACAGAGCCTTGGATACCTATATGCCAGAAGCTTCAACAATAAATAAACTTCTGCATAAGACACCCATCTTTTTAGACAAGTTCATAAATTTAAGAGAAAACTATATATTGGGGAAACAGCAGTAGTGAGTTAGAGAATTTCAATCAGCAATCTACAGATTGCCCTGAAGAAGAAAAAGTCAAGATTTTGCAGTAATAAACATGTTACTACATTAATATTAATACATATTAATTTAACATATTACTAAAATATTAATAGAGCAATAGGTACAAGAAAAAATACAAGAAAGTAACATATGATTATTAGGCATAAGGAACAGGCACTTGAACATTCACTTAACAGCTAGAAGAAAGCAGAGAAAACACATTGGATGACAACACCTATTAAAGAGAAGCTGCATCTGTGGGTGTTTTAAAAATTAACTGTGCAAGTACGACAGTCATCAGAATTCTGAATGCTAGAGAGACGTGAGTTTGCAGAAGCTGCTGCTCCTACTTAATCCAAAAGCAGGCTGTGAAATGATAGAACAAAAATAATGGCAAGCAATAAAGCTGTCAAACTATGAGATGCTTTGATGTGGTTCAGTGCACCTACCATAGCTTTACACCAAAGGCACTTCCAATCCTGCAGGCGTAGAACACTGCCACAAGTCTTGTCACAGACTGCGCATTTGGCACTGACGGGCAGGTTTCCCTCTAACCACTGGTGAGGCATAGCTATCTGTGGAGAAGGAGTCATTAGAGTTAAATACCCAGAAAGAGAAATTAGAGGCTTTTGTCTCTCAAATATAGGTGGATTTAAACTATTTCTCACAGCTGTACCCTTTTATCAAAGAAGCAGGTATGATGGTCAGGCAGGATAAGGAACACTGATGCTCAGAAGGCAACAGCAATGAATGGACTACTCTGGTGTTCCACGTGCTAGGCAGAAAACATGACACCTGAAGAAGGGAGACATGTCTCACTCATGGTAGCAACGAACCACAACACAGCAGGGCAGTTAAGTCCAGAGACTGTCATACAAAAAAGTTCCCACTTGGTTACGTTGACTACATGACACAAACCAATTAAAAATACCTAAATTTCATAAGAATAGGCAGGACAGCAGAATACCTCGGTCACTTCACTTACCCACTCACCATGTCTGGTAAGTCACAGCTCTATAAAGCAGTCCCAAACGTAGTGCAAAGCTTTACTCAGTGCACCCTTTGTCCCATTAATACCATGGGAAACTCAAGACAGTCAGGTGTTCAACTTAGTACCAGCCTTCTAGGAAGAAGCTTCACACCAGTGGTTCATACACAGCTGTGTTTGTAAAAATAGTCCATTTATCACAATCAACCTCTCAAAAGCTTTTATTGTTTCTCCTGCTAATTTTAAAATTCCTGCTTTCATCGCCTCCCAGTTCAGTGAATTCCAAATGGGCCTCCTGGAGAACTGCTCCAGGTAAAGAGGACAAAAACAGATTGCCAAAATAGCATGGTAACAGTGTAAAATATCATCTTTTTATAAGAGCAGTGGGAACTTCTGGGAGCAATCTCCAGCTGCAGAGTTTCTCTGCATGTGTCCTTTAAAACCTTGTAATACATCTGCAATCTAGTGCCCACAGTTGCTAGACTTGCCTTGTGAGATAGGAATACAACTTTTGTTCTAAATATCATTATAATCTTTGAACAGTGTTCAGGAAAATAGCCACCTACCATTAACTTCAATGGTTCACATGGCAATAATTCTGGGGTTTTTTTTTCCCCCCTAAAGAAGAAACAGATTTGGAAAATACTGTAAATATGAACAGTACTTACACCATCTTCATCTTCAATGATGTCTTTTCCAATTGAGGCTAATGTAGTCCATTTGCAGTTATTTGTTGCTCGGACAGCACATCTTTTATGTGCTTTAAACTTACACACTGCAAGACACAGATAAACATATATATCCTGTGTTATTTGCTGTATTTCAATGATACACCTTTTAAAAATTAAACACAGATATCCATAAAATAACCAAGTACCTGTCACTTAGTGTTGCACACATGACATAAAACAACTAATAGAAAATTCAGTTCATAATCACTCCAGCTTTAACTCTCTAAACAGTATTTAACTGCTTAGCTGTAGCCCATGCTAAGTGTGCCCTGAAATCCACACTGGTCCCCATTTTTCCAGTGCAAGGTGCAATATAATGTTAACTATGGGTTTGCCTTTTCCATTCCTCTGGTAACACGACTCAGATATCTGACTTAAATCTGCAGTAAGTCATGGGAGAGTTTTCTACAAAAGTATTTTGATTCAGGAGCTCTGTTTCTTTGCTCAAAAGATGCCTTTGGGGCACCACGCTGGGCCTATTTTTCTCAGAATATGAGAAAGTGAAGGGTTTATGTGGTGATATTATTATTAAGGATACTGGGGATTACAACATTTCCCAAGAGCCTATATCAAATCAGGAAGAACCTTACTTTTTACTGCATTCTTTATTAAAATTCTGCTAATTGGAATACCCAGCACATATGTGTACTTAGGCAGACATTCTGACAACCTAATAACTATTTGAATTTTGTTCAGCTCAATTAATATGCCTAGCTAACTATACTGTATTAGACCAAACAGACTGATGCACCCAAACTGTGGGTATTTCTTCTACTGGAAGTGCATGATGTAATTCTATTTAGAGTGCATTATATAAATTATTTTGGCAAAGACCATTAAAGTTTTATGAGAACTAGCCAGAAGATCAGAAGTAGTAGTCTCTTTTCAAACAAATATTTGACAGGAAATTATCAAGGCTTTGGCCCATCGCTTATCTACCATTTAAAAACATTAAGCCATGGTACAAAATGTCTTGTGAATAATAAATTTCCCATTTTAATTCCACTGATCCATTGCCAGATCAATTTAAAAAGTGAATTAAGACTATGTAAGCAACATCTGAGTTTGAGAGCAATCCTCACTGTTCTGTGAGATGTGTGAAAGTAAGCACTCAGCTCTCACTTTCTTACTTTCTAGAAAGAAAGAGAAGGAAAGAAAATAAAGAAGTTTCATTGCTTTTACAGTAACTCCCTCAGACATTTAAAAAAGCAGCATTTATATAATCATAGAATTATTTGGGTTGACAGAGACACTTAAAGATCATTTAGTTCCAAGCCTCCCTGCTATGGACTGGGACATCTTTTACTAGACCAGGTTGCTCAGTGCTCCATCCAGCCTGGAGTGCTCACCACCTCTCTGGGCAACCAGTGTCTCACCATCATCACAGTAAAGAATTTTTTCCTGCTATCTAATCTCCACCTACTCTCAGTTTGAAGCCATTTCTCCTTGTCCTGTCCCTACATGTCATTGTAAAAAGTCTCTCTCCATATTTCTTGCAGGCACCCTCCAGGTACCACTGGGCTGCAATTACATCACCCCGAAGCTTTCTTTTTTCCAGGCTGAACAATCCCAACTCTCTCAGCCTTTCCTCACTGGAGAGGTGCTCCAGCCCTCTGATCATCTCCATGGTCCCCCTATGGACTCACTCAAATATGCCAATAGCCCCTGAACTAACAAGGGCACAGACCTGCTGGAGGAAACCAACACAGACTCAAAGCGTGCAAATATCCCATAGCTGTCAGCAGACAGGGTAGACTCACTTTTTCTAAACAGCTTAGCATCACATTGTGGTTTCAAGCATCTAATGGAGCCAGGTCTCACAGAAGCACAGAAATAAAGGCTATAGTTTCAAGTGATGGACCATGAGCAGTTTTCAGCATTTGAATGTTTCAGAGAAGATATGCCACTGAATTCAGCTCCCTACTCATACATGATAAGCACTTGCTTTGCCACACAGATTAAAATACAACGAATCAGGATGAGGGGGAATAGAAAATTACGAATTATGAAGTAATATAATGTTCAAACCCTACTGAACTATGATTGAACTTGATCTTAGGAACCCTGTATTTAGTTTCTTTTTCAACAAGGCAAGGACAAAATCAATCCCAGGCTCTGAAGAGTTGCAGCAAGCCACTCTAGAGATGGCAAGTGACAGGTAATGTTTGCTTTGTAATTACTATGAATAACCTACCAACCAAATCTAAGAATAGACTCTTTGGGCCACCCCCTTGCAACCTCAGTATTATGAAACAACAATTTATGTTAGTCTGAATATTAAATATTAACAACAACAATAACCTTAAGATACAGATGTAACTTGCAAGCAAAGAAATGACTTTAAATCAAACCTCAGTATTAGTTACCACTATGGCCTAACTTCTTTTGTCTCAGATTACACTGAATCTCATTCATGAATCAGTCTGATATCTGAAATCTTTTGGAAAACATGCAGACATATGGCTAGACATCAATTGCCATTACTTCACCAATGAAAGCTAAAATATGAGGAATGTTACTGAGGAAACTTAACATTGCAATACAGATTCTGAATGCAGGTGTGCAATTGTTGGTTGTTATGACCACATACTTTTAGAGAACAAGACCCTCAGTCACTGCAGTCTCAGTAAGTACGGGGTTGCACCATACTCTGGTTCATAACAATTTTCAACAAGCATTTGCCTAACTAGCTGAAAACTAATGTGACACTGCTTTTTAGCCATCAATATTAATTTCTTCCCGGCCTTTTAAAATTATTATTATTATTGTTGTTGTTACGCCCAGTAATACTACTACTACAATTAAGACTTTTTTTCAGTACTGTGTATCTACAAAGCATCAGGGACTTCAGAACAGCTTTAAATTATCTTTGCAGTTATTAAAAACAGCATACCTGTGATAGAGGTTTCAGGTTATAAATAATGCACAATTACTGATTTGATAAAAAATCTTATTTAAATGTTTTCCCCAGCATCACAGAAGGGTGCATGTGATATAAAGTCACAGAACAGTTTTCTACTACTCCTTTATTCCTTAACAAGAAGCATCCCTTCTCTCTATTGCTGCTTCATTCACTATTCACTCTCCAGATTGTGCAGAGAATATGGCAAAAGTATCAGAGACAATGACTGTGCAAGTAGTGCCTGTACAATTCCCTGGGTAATGGGTAAGAACAATAGGGTTTTGTGGGTAAAACCCCACAAGCATAATGGAAAAAGACAAAGTGCACAAAGTGCATTTGCAGAGGTAATTTAATCCCAGTACTTTTTACTGATTGACCTCGTCATCCTAAAGTGTTCTTACAACATTGTTTGTGCAATTCATCACAGGAGAATGCAGTTTAAGAGAGAGGTTTCTGCCACTTATTAGCTATACTTGATACTCAACAATCAAGATTCTGTCATGATAAACAAAATGTACATGAAAAATTAAATTTCTGAGAATAATCACAGAGGCAGTGTTCCACTGGCAGTGGCATAGACAGAAATACAGTATTGATACAGAGTAACTGAGGTTACAGAGTTCTGGAAGAGTTTCTGTAGATAATGATATATCATTCTTCAAGCTTCTTTGCCTGAACATTCCATATTGAAGCTAAGCTCTGAGGAGCATAAAAGCCAAAACCCTTTCATGATTCAGCTAGTTTGGAATAATTTCTAAAGCAGCACAGAGATCATAATTACCCTATCCTAGTAAAGACTGGATGAACATTGCAGAGATCAGTCCTTTATCTAGAGCAACACAACACACAGACAACATTGAAAAAGTAGATTATGTCTTTTGAGAAGACAAAAAAGAAAGAATCTCTGGGAAGAAGAGCATTGCATCTCAAAAGAGAGTCTGATTGATTTTTTTTAAAAGTCAATTTTTTGTTAAGCAATAGCAAGAATGAGGCCTGGTTTGTTGCAATTTACTTCTTCAGATTGATATACATATCAATCCATTGGCTTCTAAAAAGGTGCAAGCTCACACTAGTCTTTTACCTAGCAAAGGCACTAACCTACCATCTTTTTCTACACTAGTTTCCACAAGACTTAGAGCATCTTCAGGGTGGCCTGCAATTAATTTGGCAAACCTTTGCCAAAAGCTGCTGGGATGGAAGGTGCCCTGAAGAAAAAAGTCGCCTATCATCTCTAAAAGAAATGCGGCTTGATTTGTGGTCAGACTTTGAAAAAAGTTGTGCAGGGCTGCTGGAAAACAGCAATATTAAGAGAATAAAGTATTACAGGACAACTAAACTATCAAAAGCTGCAAGATAGCAGCAGAGATGTTTATTTTTACCTATAGTAAAAAGTCAAGAATCAGACCCCAAAGACTCTAAGCTACTTTCAAGACAACTTGGTGTGCCAGCAACCCAAACCATTAACAGGAGGAAGAGCTCAATTATCTCTTGAAAGAACCTCTCATGCTTTTCAATACAAGGCATAATAGAGTAGCCTGGGATCAATGACCACACAAATAATTGAATTTAGTACAGATATAAATGGATTCCCAGTATAAAGCAGTGCTGGAGAAGCCAGGCATGAATATTTAAACAGGTTTTTAAAATTGTGTAATGGGGAAAAGCAGCACAGAACAAGTCTGGGGAATTTCAAGATTCCAAACTTCCCAGATTGTTCTCCCAGAGAGAACTTTCTCTCAAACTGTATAGACTGCTAATACAGGTAAGTTAAAGAAAAAAATTAGATGATTAAATGCATTAGAAATGCACATAGCAGGAGCAAGTATCAAACAAAAATGCAGTTTTTAGATGAAGAAATTAAGAATGACGGGTTTTAACATCCATGCATAATTGCAGAGAAAGTATAAAGTATTACAGAAAAAGAGTCAAATTTCAAATTATTTAGATGAGACATATAACTAAATATCTTATTTTATTTAAAAAGGAAGAACACAATAGATATAAAATACAAGCTAAGAAGTAAGAGGAGATAAACTTATTAACAAACAAAAGAATATCACAATATCTACATATCAAACAGGTCATATACGATTATGAAACTGTAGAACAGTGAAAGGAAATCCAAATCACTTTCACAAGCTATTTGTAAAAACTGGCATTAGAAATGTGGATAAATGCAGCATTAGTTTGTCACAAGTTATACATAAAAGTGACAAACTCCAAATCTGGAAATTATGGGAACTTCCCTGATGTAAAGTTAATGCTAATACCCAGTATATTAAAAACATACTTAGATTCAAAATTACACACTGGAAAAACATAAAAGGGTGAACTTCAGACATTAACATTGATAATCTTACAGTAGTAATTCTTGCTAAATGGCCTTTTAAAATAGCTATAATATTAAGTTAGGAATGGATCATTCTTTATAAAAGTTCTTCCTTTCCTTTGCCTGAGCAAATACAACTGTATTTGTACACAGAGGCAATACAACTGCATTTTAGTTAAGTACATGATACTTCCATCTGCCAATATCAGACATTGAGAATACCTTAATTGCCTTTAAACTGCCCAAAGGACTTACACACAATGGAAAACATACACCAGAGAAGCTGGAAGTAACCATGCTACTTCTAATTTCTATGAAACGGGTTTGTCCTGTTCCTTGGCAACTGCACCATTAGCTACACTAAAAGCATGGACAATTCAGGACAGTGGGTTAATGTTTCCTTTGTAAGATTTCCTTAATACATATTATTATCCTCAAGTATTATAACAACATCAATAACAGAAATGCATTTGCAGGTGGGTTACATATATCCAAAGAAATTAAATTACGAATGGTGAAAGTGTAACTCTTTTCTGGGCAGTCAGCTATTTTAGTAATGAAATATCTCTACGTTTCATATATCTATCTCATAAGGTCACAGATGCTTTATTTTCTGCTGGCTCCTAACACAAACAGACTTGTTACCACTTTTCCACAGAATTTGCAGGAAAAAATAAATAAGTTGTTTTAGGCATATTATAATTATTTGTTCATTAAATATAATTTCTAGCTAAATGCTGATGTCTTAGCCACACTTTTTTTTTTCTTTGTGCTGGATTTCCCCTGTTCAAACATTAAATGCAGTCATTTACGTCTCTACTCTTCACAGCACAAGAAAATATTTAAAGCAGTAAATTAATGTGTACTGCAGGATCAGGCAGCAGCATCAGAGCAAACAGGAATTGGAGGGGAAGGGTCATAACACTTTGTTCAATATTAAGAATGTTTTTAGACTTGGCACAGAAAATACCAAAGTGATTTTTTTTTTCTGAGAAATGCTGATTCTGCAAACCAGTAAGATTAATTTGTTCCACATTTTTGAAGTGCAAATCAAACAAATCCTCTTTTCTTCCAAACCCTCCATCCTGTACACTCCAAACTGGTTGCTGCAATAGAAAGAAGTATTCTATTGGAAAAGGCACCTGGAGCTACAGGAAGGTGAGGGAGATCATTAGCAGTCCCTCTGTCGAGAGGAGAGTCACTCTCAGGCAGAGTTTTCTCCCTTCGGGCTCTTTTGTTACTCGTTCTTTTCAGGGTCATTACTCACACTGCACTTGCAGCAACCTGTCTACACACACAGCATGATAACACGGGGAAGCAAGCATTGTTTTACCTTCACAGGACAGGCCGTGAGAAGTGACTCCAGAGAGGCTCTCTCTGCACACGTTACAGAAGGTAGGGCGGGCGTGGGAGCAGGCGTACCAGTTATGCATCCCTGAGAAATGTTCCACATTAAACTGTGCGGTCTAGTAAAGGAGAAGTTAAGACAAATTTGCAAGTACAGAACACAGCTACGGTGACTGACATTACGCATGGTTCCATATTACAGGGGACGACAGTGAAATGCTCACCAAAAGGATTTTCCAAAGGGAATTTAGCCTGCTCTCCCTCCAAAATTCTAAACCAAAGTGTGATAAGAAGCTCTCATTTTGCTAGCAAAGTTCTTTACGTGAAGCTTCACTGTGACATTAGACGTACTTTTCACTCTAAGGAGGGTGAATACTCAGTTCTGTGTCCTGTAGCTTGATCTGTTGAGCTAGAACAGGCTGTACCAAGAGGGATGTCAGCTTACCTCATAGTGTTCTCTGGACTGAACGGACTTCAGAGAGCTTATCCAGTCCTCCATTTCTTTTCTGTTCTCAGCACACAATATTAGCCTCCTAAATGGAGTGATTATCTGAAAAAGATAGCACATCCTGATTAATCCAAATAATAAAAATCATGATAGACTATGACATTTAATGTACTCTTCCCTGTGAGATGATTCAAAATGATGACACGCCCTACAAGGCAAGATACTAAACATTTAAAAGTATTTTCATTAACACACTACCAACAACAACAGAGTTTACTTTTCCTTGTACAGTTCCCAAGATTCAAATCAGCTCTTTGTCTATGCACTGAGATTTAAATGCTCAAATGGCAGGCACTGAAATGCTAAAACAACCATTCTGGAAATTACTAATTGACTAAGACTGCAATCTTATTTCATAACAGCATCATAGCAACTGCAAGGTCCATTCTAATTGCTAGAGACAAAAACATAGCAAAATCAAAAGCCTGTAAGTCTTTTAAACAAACACAAAAGCTGTCATCATATTTCACTGTCTTGTGTATTGATAACATATTTACACAAATTCATACACAGAAGAATTTAAAACAGTACTTCTTATATCCAACTGTATCAACTATATCAATAAGAACCCATACAAATCTTTATAAAAAGGCACAGAGAACAAAAACAAACAGTTGAAATCATATCCTACTAGGACAATTGAATGAATTCCTGGAACAAGCTGATGATGGGAATTTTTCAGTGGTCTGGAGTTAGATTCCAGAAATCTGAAAATACTGTACCAAGGAGGTTCAGAGTACAAGCTGCTCTCCCCTTTCCCTAAACAGTAGAAAAATAATCAAAATAACAGGAAGGCAGCAGAAACTATCAGCTAACTCCCACTGAAATTATTTTGGGCACTGCATTAAAATAGACAAAGCAGTTACTTACATGGCAAAGAATTTAAAACAAGTACAAGGAAATAAGGAAAGTTATATATTTTGTTGTAGAAAGTCTGAAAAATAAAATTAAATCCTTTATCAGCATTATGCATTAATCTGTGGCATAGTATGTACCACCAACACTTGCAAATTACTTAAATAAAACAGAGAAAGGACCACCAAAAATGGTAATTCTGAGTATTCTTTAAAATGCTACAAGCTAGACATTACAACATTTGCACAATATTAGTAAATACTTATCTACAGCTGCAGTTACTTACCCAATCCCTGCTGTGAATTGTCTCTAGCCTTGATTTGTCCTATCCACTCCTTCATTAAGCTGAGCTGCACTTTAACATATCTCAGAGGCGACGTAACTGAAGTGCAGCAAGCTGCAAGTCACATGGAGGGGAGGCAAAAACCCTTTGGGCTTGCCTTTTCTTTTTTTTAATGTACTTGCTTCACATGGAAGGGAATAGTTCCTTTGTTTTCTGTTTCCTTCCATCTTGCTTAAGCCACTTAATAAGGTTTATTAGTAGCTCTCCATGGCTTTTCCTAAAGAACAGTTTATGCAAAGAGCAATGCTTCTCTCATTAGTTTAGAGCCAAACAGACGCTTTATTACTTCAAAATGTTTTTCTAGGCCAGGTCATTCAATGAAGCCAAGAAAAGTCATTAAATCATAATATAACCCTGGCTCCAACAACAATCAGCATTCTGCTGAAATTTCCAGGTTTCAGTGGACACAGAAATCTTATTTGGGAAAATACAAGCCACAGATTATTTCCTATTATAGACCATGAGATTATAATAGAGATTAAATAATGATAAATCCACCCAAGACTCTGCATGCTACGTCCATCCTTCCACCACACTTACTGCTGATCCTAACAGGTAACCAGACATCGTGAAATGCCATTTAGCAACAACAGCTGCATTTATTCCTGAAACTCCTGACTAATCTTGATCTTTTCAAGTAACATTTATATGTATTACTCCTGTCTTCAATACTACTGGCCACAGAAATCCACTGTGCACCCTTCCACCCTCCCCTCTGAAACTAAGGCCCTGGTTCAGGTGTTCACACCTAGTGCCACTGAAAACACCCTTTGGCATCCAAAGTTTTGGCAGGGCAGGGCTAAGTATGACAGAGGACCAGAATAGCAGATATACATAACTGAAGTGGGACACCAACCAACCTCATCTCAAAATGCACTGCACACCCATTTATTGGCAATCAAATATCATCATCAAACGCTGCTAACCAATGCATGTAAACATACCAGAAATTCATATATTCCAGCTTCTTACTAAAATCAGAGCGCAAAAAACTTAATAAAGTTCACAGCATTGCAACAGTCTAACAACTCAACAGGATGCTGTCAATCACATGAATGTAGGATCAATTATTAGTGCTACAAATTTAAAGTAGGAAGTTGGAAGACTTTGTAAATAAAATTTAACTACATACTCTCTTTGATTTACATATTTGCAACAACAAACTTCAAGAAGGTACCTGGTAACATGAAATAAAGACAAAATGCATTATATGCAAGAAGCATCAAGAATGCTTGGAATCTTTCAAATCAAATCAAATAGGAACTATGAGGCCCATTTAGCTTCTCATCTACTTCAGCCTACAAAATCATGGAGAAAATGTACTCTTATTATTTTTTAGATATTTCATGTAACATAAGAACTCAGGGAACCAAGGAAACTGTTAGCAAACAACAAGAAGTGTTTTTCCCTAAATGCAAAGCATTCTTTAACTTGAAAAGTATTCCCAAAGGATGCTGAGGGGATGAAAAGTAAAAATGTCCAAAAAAGCATTTAAAAAATTAATCACAAATAAATATACTATAAAAGACAATATCTGAAAACTTATCAGGTCCTCAAAAATCCAACAAGGAGTCAATGTTGGGAAGTGACTCAAGGATAGGAATCACTGTATATGCTCTGCTGTTTCTACCTCATTCTTTAGTATCTGCTACTATTATTATTATACTTTAATTTAACATGGTTTTACGAGCTTTAACTAACTCAGTATAGCTTTTCTTGTTTATCCTAAATTGAGATTGACTTCCCAAACCTTCTAATTTGCATTTATACAGATGACATGCTTTCTTCTGAATGCTTACACAATGCCATGATTAAACAAGTGGGATGTTTGAAGTTCATTCACTAAAGACTGCTGAACCTGTATACAGACATAATCAAAATTAAATGGATGTAATTGACCTTAAAACAATTTTCCTGCCATGTAAATTTGAATTTAACTAGTAATCTTATCTCATTGCATGTATCCATATTCAGAGTCCTGTATATCCTCTTCTACTGACCCAAGTCAGCATCTTTTTTTCAATTACATATTACCTTTTTTATATTCACTGCTCCAAATATTACTATTTGTATATCACTCTGAATATGCTGAACTAGAAAGAAAGAAAGAGAGAAGGAAAGAAAGGAAAGAAGGAAAAGAAGGAAGGAAGGAAGGAAGGAAGGAAGGAAGGAAGGAAGGAAGGAAGGAAGGA